TTATTGTTAGTAGCTTTAAACTTTATCCCATAAGTTGCGGAAAGTGCTGAATTTAATAAACCAAGTTTCGCTTTATCCGATTTTAAACCAGATTTTTTAGCACTACGAGACGCGTCTGTATTATCAAAAACTCGGGCCATTTTGGGTACTAAATCTTGGAGATACTTCATAGACTTAGGTGATTCTAAACACGATTTAACAATATCAGCTGTATATCTATCCCGATCATCAATATCTTTAATAGGTGTACAAGTCTTTAGTAATTCCAGACAAATTCGATGCTTCTCAGCTTGGGTAGCAATTGTAAGTCTATCATTTCTATAATCTTCACGGATAATGGCCTCAACTGCTGTTTCATTATTAGTGCCTGCATCTCGTAGTTTCTGGAGGTTTCTGAACGGATAGTTATAGTCCGAACTAAGTGGTATAATTGGAGTCTATTATAGACTCCAATTATACCACTTATGCTATCCTTGATTATGATAATATTTAACTATTCATTAATTAGCAACTCGAATGATGATAATTATAAAATATCACAAAATACTGTAAATGTGTTAGTGATATTGACTCTAATATTAATTAATGGTTAAATACTGCTCAAAACTTTTCCATCGGTTGCACAATACACTATCTTTTCTACCCTTGTATGATTAGAGAATGTAATTGTTGTAAACGATCTGGTAGGGGTGTGACTCTAAGGGGTCTGACTGTTCAAGTGCAATGCAAACGTGATTTATACTGCGGATAACAAATACCTGCTGATCTATCAAAAAGACTCTTCGGAGGAACCGTTCCGATTGCCAACAAACGGTGTTGTAGTACGGCTCAGCTATACAAGCTTCCCTTTGCATTCCATTTATCTGCGACTAAAATGTTTCCATTTCTTGGTAAAACGACTCCTCCCAAAGTTAATATTAAGTCGGTTGATATTAAACCGACTAGACCCGAATCAGAGCTAGTGCAATTATTAAAACAGCGGAAGCCACAAGTGATACCAGCCCCAAACAAACCTATCACGGTTGCTATAATTGGAGCCGGAGCAAGGTATCATAGTCGGTCGTCCCCGAATCAAAGAGACACTTAGGAAGAGAATTTCCTAACAACATTTTATAAATATATTGTGCAGAGGAGGAGGTTACGCGCATTATGCTTTGGAGAATCGTGAATGGATGCAAGTGGTCGCGGTAGCTGAGCCCGTACAGGCTCGTAGAGAGCGCCTGGCGCAGGTTTAAATTAATCATAATTACATGATTATTTTTATAAATTAGCGCCCAGTCTTGCTAATAATAATCTAAATATATTTAGACGCATAAAATTCCCAAAGAACACGTCTTCAACGATTGGAGAGAGGTTGGATCTTGTTATAATGCTGACCGTACCGCAGATTTACTAGTTTATTAATTGTTAATTGTTTGATCCAGTTGGCAGAGCTCCCAAAATTTTGTGATGCCGTTTTTATTGCCACTCTGGATAGTCAGCATTATGAACCAGCTATCGCCTTTGCAAATTTGAAATATCATATCCTTCTTGAAAAACCAATGGCACCTACTCTGCAAGAATGTTATCGAATCACTCAAGCTGCTTTGAACAATCAAGTAACGTGATTAACATCGAAATCTTTTGTTTACGAACTTACTTTGATAATTGTTCTAACAATACTATAATGACTGTATAGGTTGTATTCGCTATCGGTAAGCCGATCCTCATACGACATCAAGATGTGCAGCACTAAGATAATTAGTGCAAGTGATTCACAAATAATTTTTCCTTCATCGATAGGGCATGTCCTGAGATATACGGCACATAATAAAATTATAAAACAAATAATCGATTACGGCGTATTAGGAGATATCATCAATATTCAACATTTGGAGCCAGTTGGGTTTTGGCATTTTGCACACTCGGTAAGTTAGTCAAGCAAGCACAGATTTGTATAGCTGTTTGATAATTAATCCGGGTAATAATGCTTTTTTTTTTTCATCATAGTACGTTAGGGGCAACTGGAGGAAGGAGAGCGAGTCCTGTTTCTCATTAATGACAAAGTCATGTCATGATATTGGTACATCTTTGCATTCAAGAAATTCGAGATAACCCTATTTCATGATATCACTATTGCTAACGGTTGTTATTGCTTGGTTAGATCTAATTGCTCAGTGGATGGATTCTCCGTGTGTGGTATGTAGGCTCGTCATCGTTGTACACAATTCTCGCAGTTTTATTAATCAAAGATACAATTACCTCAGCGAATAAGCTCTTTTGGCAATCTCTCTCACTTTAAACGAGAAAAAAAACCCGCCGAAGCTGGAACCGCAACGTAAGCTTCCGTGACGCTCCACATTGTGTCAGTTAGATAATCTAACCTCCCCCAATTTAGTCGATGTCTAGATTGCGCATATGAAGAGAAATGTCATTATTCAGCGAAATCCATCTACTTGGAACCTGCAAAGCGCGGTCAAAAAATGTGGCCGATTTCGGTTCTTGTTGACGTTGTTGGTAAGTTATATCGTAGTAGTTTTTCTCTCCTTTTTTCTCTCTCTTTTTCTTTTTTTATTTAATAACATCTTGCTTTGACAGACATTGAAAGTGTGCATGAAGCGCTTCGTTCTGGTCCATATGGCCGCTGCGTTTACGAATGTGATAATGATGTGGTTGATCATCAGGTTGTTAACATGGAATTTGCCAATGGCGCAACTGCATCTTGTACTATGGTTGCATATACAGAGGCTGTATGCGTTCGAAGTACCAAGTAAGTTGTATATTACCAAGCACGTAAGATGATAGCATTAATCTGGTAATGACTAACAAATGCCGTTGTAGAATATTCGGCACTAAAGGCCAACTCGAATGTGATGGTATGGATAGCATTCAGTTTTCTGATTTCGTAACCGGTACTCGCGAAATCTTAAAGCCAAGCACAATCACTGGAATGTACGATATGCGAGGACACGGTGAGCATGAATGAGCGTGAATAATTATCGTGTCTTATTGCTTATTGTGCCCGACCGAAACTGACTGAAAAGTTTTATTTGCCACACGCGAATTACAGGTGGAGGTGATTTTGCACTAGTTGAGGCTTTTCTCAAAGAGATCGCGACAGAATCTTCCCGAAATGGTGCCTCTGACGCCTTCAGTGAGTAAAAAGTTTCGTGTGATTGCAGTTTTATTTATATCGGCGTTATGATGACATGCTGACGTGTCATTCATTGATGTTTATTAAACTGTTTAGATTCGCATCTGTATGTATTTGCTGCTGAGCAAGCAAGAAGGACAGGAACAGTAGTGAATATTGAAAACTTCAAGCAACAGAATCAAATTAATAGTATTTAAATTATACATAATGCTGATCTGTTCATTATGAACGTGGTTATATTTATTACAATGAATCTACTTCTCCGAATATGCGTAAATAAATTTAAACTATAAACATAGGATTTCAAGCCATGCCAACACTGACAAATCCAAAAATTTTTGTTCTAAAATCATACATCCGCATTACGTTTCTTCTTATCATTCGTCTATCATTTGATCTTCCTGGCTCTCTTCCATATCCTGTCCATCATTACCTTCCATCATCTCCCTGGTGGGAATAGTTTCCCCTATAGTAGTGTCAATTATACCAGGCTCAACTCTCAACACCTCACACTGATTACAAATCTCCAGTATCTTCTCAGCCTCGGGTACCGACATGCTTCCAAGAACCTTGTTGATCTTTTCTAATTCACCCGTTTTGAGCGCTTCACGCAAATTTTCAGGCAAGGTCATGAAAGTTTCAAATCGTGATATCTCGGCGGGATCGTCAGAATTCTTGTCTGGTACGTGAACGCTGAGCATATTCCCAGGACCTGTCATTTCTATTTGGATCTGTTCAACTTGTGGTTGGTTCCCCTTTTCCTTCTCGATTACTTCACAGCGCTTGCAAATATGCTCATAAGTATCATTGACATCCTTTTCAAATACGTCACGGGCACCCTCCATTGTCGTTATTCTGACGAGTTATTTAGAGCGCGTTAATTAATACAACTTTGGCATATTTTCTTAAACGTTTGGAGTTCATGCCATCTTAAACTAACCTCCTGAAGAATAGTCTTACACCATCCGGACCTAGCTTTTGACAGTATTGAATGAGCCAGCCTTGATGTACGCACTGTTTAGCATACTTTGCCTTTTTTTTTAGTTGAGCCTGGAACGCTTCTGCAAGCAAACTATCAACAGCTTCCTGATTAATGATCTCTGGATGATCTGAAATAAACTTGTAGCTTTCATCGTAAGTTTTGACCTTTGCAAAAGCTTTGGTAAGGTCTGACGGGATCATTCCTTCATCGTCATCAGCAACCTGTTCTGTCGAAGTAACTGTTGAAGATGCTGGTTTCGAGCTGGTAGACTCGGTCTAACGGAAATAATAGTGTCGAGAGGAGCGCCATTAACGCCCGGGTTGAAATTGACGTCAACGATATAATAATCAACTTGATACGCACTACGATCAGCATAAGCTTACCTTTGTAGGTTTCGTTACGATTTCTGAGGCAGACTTGTTGATAGCATTTCCAGAATTTGTTGACGCTGATGACTTATTATGTGAGTCCGTTTTGGTAGCCTTGGTAGCCTTGCTCACTCTCTACAAGCAATGTTCGAAAACGTCAGTACATACTCTCAGACTAGCCACATAAGTATTGGTTGTGTTTATGCAACAACTAATTGATATGGAATAATTGACCTTACCGTATTGTCAAATCCGGTGTGTATGTCGTCCATAGTGATTTTTTTATGAGCCTCTGCTTCTTCCTTCTCCAATTCCAATTTGGCCTCCTTGGTCCTCGCTGCCAATTTCTCCTTGTGTTCTTTTAGTTTGCTTACCAATTGTTCTCCGACCCTTTCCTCACTCTCATTTTCAACTTCTGCCTTAATCTTTTCGTATAATACCGCCATCATTTCATCAAAGGACGGCATCCTCTCTTCGGTGCCCTCGGTCTTTTGCTGAACCTCTTGTTCAGCAGTTTTCTTGTTCAGCTCGCGCAAATCTTCAACAGTCTTCAAGAATGCAGAGACACCATTTGATTCAACTTGCGAAATCATTGCGCCAATTCGATCAAGAAGGACATCATTTTGAGCAATTTCGGCTTTGAGAGCAGTAATTTTTTGTTTACGCTCTTCTCGTTTCCGGTGAATGTCAGCTTGTTTCCAGCGAATGAGGGATGCTTTATCAACGTTGGGGTGACACTCAAAGTCATCGTCGTCGGAAAGTTCGAGTCTATCCCATTTACTGTAGTCAATCGGCATTTTCGTTTATTTGTGAAATATTGATAAATATAGTATTTTCGGTCGTGCTTAAAGGTGTTTCGACACTTTCTTTGGCAGTCAAAGCCATCAATACGAACACTGCAGGCCGGAGATTTATCTGTGCGAAATAATGGTGATCACTTACTTAATTTGGTTCAAATAAAGTCGAGAAGGTTCTGCAGCCTTCTGGGCAGATCACGCCACAAAAGAATATAAATTGGTTTGCTCTCCAAGGTTTGGTCATTACAGAAAACTATGACTCGTACTAAACATTCACCAAAACAAAACAGACATTATCAAAGGTTTGTTTAAACGGAATGTGTATTGATCGGCATGGGTGAATGGATAAGAGACGCTACGAGCATGTAATGACGATTTATAACTTTGTATTTGATTAGGTCTCCGTTTGGCGACTTGCGAGGCCCGCCAAAGAAAGTATGTGTTCGTCTTTGAATTTTTTCGTGATTCACACTTTCATGCTTATTTATTAATCAAATACCTCAATAACTACTATTGTTATATTCAGGAAGGAGCCGGTCAGCACAATTGGGGCAATGTAACTGCAGAGACCGCTGAATTAGATGAACATTATGAACTCCTGGACGACTGTCCAAAATATGATTTGGAGAAAGTGGAGAAGATTGTCGAGGTAGAGGGACAACTGCGGGATACCAAAATAAACGTAAGCTTTATCTAGTCTTTAGTATCGCAATTTAGTTTATTGCAGAAAATATTTAAAGACGGTTACTTCTATCTGTTTGATAGGTTGTTGATCCTAACGAGTTTGAAAAATTACGAGCAGCTACGGCTGAGGAACAAGAGTGAATGTGGGAGTTTGATCAGTTAGTCTAGAGACTATATTTACGTTTGAGAAACTAGACTTAACCAGTTATTGAACCGTTTGGTCTAAATGGTCTCTTTAAGACTGTTAAGAACCTTACTATCGATTATTTGTAAATTGTTCACAATTAAAATATCATTAGTATTATTATTAAGAATAACATCCAAAATATATCAACTTGATTGGTATTGTCTTCAGAAATGCGAACATAATGTTTCCATAACCTGACAGGATACTTGTAATTCGCAAAACACATTTTACTCGCGTAAAGTGTTATTGGCAATATTTGGCAGGATGATACCTGCGCAACGCCCCCGCTGTAACCGTCAAATCATAGCATTTCGCCACTTTAATCGATATCATCATAATTATTACATTATGCACGCTTTACGTCATCGATAACTCTTACCTATGAATAGTAATAATGCTAAAATGGATATTAATCACGTGTTAAACATAATTACTTGTAATGGTTCTGCCCTCCCTGCCGTCATAGTTATCATTAGCCGTCATGTCAGAGAAACTTCCATACGCTGTTGAAGCTGACGTTCCACTTGGAAATGCCGAGTTAGAAGTAAGTGCGTTCGTAGCGATTCTGTTCTTGTATTGTATAATGATTAATAAATCTGGCATGGAGCACAGAGTATTTAGTGATCGTTATAATAAAAGTTATAGTTTTTTGACCTCTCAGTTTTGGATTATGATTTTAAATCACGCAGGTATTGAGAAAATGTTATCAGAGAGAACTTCCAGAGGCAACAACTCAAACAAAATTCAACTATGCCTGGGGTTTAGTTCGAAGCCGAAAGCAATCTCACAATAAAGAGGGCATTAAACTTTTATATGGTATGTTTGCTTAGTCATCATTAAATTGGTTTCATTACATGGCGAATTTTCTAACAAGCTAGAGAAGTAAACATTGGCATACTCGAAACTGACGGTGACTTGCGTCAATCGTTTAGAGATATATAACGAATCACGAGAGAGACGACGAGAATGTCTATACTACCTTGCTCTTGGTCACTATAAAGTGGGTGAATATCGAAGCGCAAAAGACCATAATAATCAGTTGCTTCAACTCGAACCTAACAATCAACAGGCTCTAAGTCTAGCAGAAGTAATAGATGAGAAGGTGAATCGAGGTAAGAACATTCTCGTTAGATAGTGACGTCGTTTCACCCTGCTATAATCAGGCTTTAACAATTGTGTTCGTTTATTCAATAGAAGGAATAATTGGAGCCGCTATAACAGGAGGTTTAGTAGCACTCGGTGCTTTAATAGTCGGTTTAATAGCCAAACGAAGAGCGTTGATGTGAACACAGGTTCCTTGCGCGATATTTGGCTGAGAACGTAAAAACCTTATTTACGATAGTCAGCGTGAGATTCAGATGTGATCTGTCAAAATGTATATAGAAGCTTCGCTCAGACGTGGAGATCAATGACATCAATAAAATTGATGATATCTTATTATTATTATAATTATTATTATTATATTATTTTTTATTTTGCATGTTTGTAGTTTACTTTATCACGTGATATTTAATTACTTGTAACACCAAACAATCTGTGGATCAAATAATTGTCTCTGAACGTCGTCCTTGATAAACTGTGAAAAAATGCTTGACCTTAACCTGTTTCAAGTCGAAAAGGGAGGAAATCCTGAGCTTATCCGCGAGTCCCAGCGTAGAAGGGGTGCTTCTGTCGAATTAGTTGATAAAATTATTGCTTTGTACGATGAATGGAGAAGAGGTACAGCTTATTGTTCAAAACCCACTATACTGCGCGACTTTGAAAGAAAGTCTGTTGTATGATCAATTACAATATTGTTCGGCGCTAACGCAATTTTTATATATTCACTACCGTTGTGTTTAGTTCGATTCGATCTTGACCAAGTAAACAAAGCGATAAACGCTATTCAAAAAGATATTGGCAAAAAAATGAAGGTGATTGAAAAAAAAAAGCAACTTCAGAAGGATGAAATATATACTTGACACGTAACACTTGTCAGAAGCTTTATTAGCCAATGTCTTCACTAGAATTGTATCTACAATTTATTTCACATATTCTAACCCAAAGGCAAAAGAGAATGCCTCAGATCTCATCTCACAGAAGGAAGAAAAAACAAAAGAGAAAGAGCGATTGATGGCTCTTGAAAAGGAAAAGGAAGAGATACTGAGATCTGAAGCATCCGCTATTGGTAATATTGTCCACCAGTCAGTTCCCACTTCAATGGACGAGGAGAATAACGAGATTATTAGGACATGGGAACCAGCCGACAAGGAAGGAGAACATGTAAATAAACCTGTGAAGAAGGATAACATATTATCCCATCACGAGGTTTTGCATAGGATTGATGGTTATGACGCCGAAAGAGGTATGTAAAGTTTGTTGGTTCTATCTCGCAAATATAAGAATTGACCACGATTAATGCGGTCATGTGGTCGTGTTAATTGTTATTAAATTCTCACGTTTGTTGTATACCCCTAATGACTAATCTACAACGTATCAATAGGCACGAAAACTGCTGGGCATCGTGGTTATTTTCTTACAAGCGAGGGTGTTGATTTTAACTTGGCACTTATACAGTACGGTCTCTCTTTCTTGAGAAAGAAAGGATACAAGAAGCTGCAAACACCTTTTTTCATGAGAAAAGAATATATGGCAAAGACTGCTCAATTAGAGCAGTTTGATGAAGAGCTATATAAGGTAGTGATGGAGGCAATCTGATGACGTTATTTATAAAGCTTACCTTTTTTTTTTTTTTACAAATAATACAGGTAGTTGGAGATGGTGATGATAAATATTTGATTGCCACTTCAGAACAACCAATATCGGCCTTCCATGCCAATGAATGGTTTGAAAGACCTTCCGAGCAATTACCAGTAAGGTATACATTTTTATACTGCGCACCGTATTTTTTTTCAATCGATACACATGTTTACACGCTTCGATTTTCAAAGATATGCAGGTTACTCAACATGTTTCCGCAAGGAAGCTGGAGCTCATGGCAAAGACACCTGGGGTATTTTCCGAGTACATCAGTTTGAAAAAATAGAACAATTTGTTCTTACCACGCCTGAAACCTCATGGGATGAATTTGATCGTATGATTGCCAACTCGGAGGAGTTTTATCAATCACTTGGCCTGCCTTATCGTATTGTCTCTATTGTCTCTGGGGCACTGAATAATGCAGCCGCAAAGAAATATGATCTTGAGGCATGGTTCCCATTCCAAGGAGAATATAAGGAATTAGTCAGTTGCAGCAATTGTACCGATTATCAAAGCAGGAGATTGGAGATACGTTGTGGTACAAAGAAAATGGGGGATAGAGAGAAGAAATATGTGCATTGTTTAAACGCTACACTTTGTGCTACTGAAAGGACTTTGTGTTGTCTTTTGGAAAACTGGCAAACTCCTGAGGTGAATATTTACATGATAACTGTATCTTTTAAATTATGGTTGTTTTGGACCAATGACTAAAATTTTTTTATTTAAATAATCCAGGGTGTCATCATACCGGAACCTTTAAGGCCATACATGGATGGAAGGGATTTCTTACCTTTTGTTAAGCCATTACCTAAGAAAAAGTGAAAATTCATAGCTTTAATAAATTAATCTTGTGGAAATATACACGGCGGGGAAGACGGTAAATGTGGCGAGGATTAATGTGTTCATGATCACTATGTTATTGTTAATCGGAAACTTGCTTCGCACTTCTATTTAACAAAAGAAACGCATATTTATGTCATTACTGCCCTATCATGCATACATGTTATAGTGTTGGTTCTTTATCAGTCAATATAGACAATAGGCAAAATGGCTTGAATATCGCAATGGCTTGATGTATGGATTTACCTAATATGGAGATTATTATTATTACTGTACGGTTACTTTGCCATTATTATTCTCGGTATTTGCAAGCGGAATACTCTGATGTAGTCCTGTGTGGTGAGCCCAAAAAATTTAGTTTAATTTATAAATAAGTTTATTTTCAAACATAATTTGCAGTAATGTTTTTGGAACTCATGTTAATCTGTCAATTCTGAATAGATGTATGTCAGATTGGATGGTAAAGGCGGTTGGGTAAAAAATTATCATAAGAGTGTAATTAAATAATTAATATTGGCAATGCTAATTTAGACTGCATTTGCTTTCATGCCAGTCTGTAAATAAATTCATTAGGAATACACATCGCTTTCATATCGATAGCATTTGTGTCTAATTGACTGCTTGCTATAGCATTTCTTCAAAGCGTATGTTTCGGGATCATGAGGTAGAAGGCGCTTGACCGGTCTTGTCTGAAGAACCAGCAATAGAGCTGTAAAGCGATGATGTTGTGCTCCTTATTAGAGAGGAAGATGTCTAATTTATGTAATCAACGAGACACGTTCGCCATTGTTTTGAATTTGAGAAGTACGAATAACAACCTTGACTTGCTTATTTATAAACAATTGCAAGTTATGATATTGATCTCAAATAAATTTGATAAAGTAAAAAAAAAAATAGTATTCGATTAAAAGTTGGTTATGAAATAAGTTGAAAACTCTCTGCTTGAAAAAAATATTTAATACGAACTATTGACGACTTGACTTCAATGCTCCTTGGAAAGTAAAAGTAAAAACTCGATATTTGGATGGATTCCCGCTGACAAAGAACCAACTCGAATTGACGCAATTATATACAGTGCGTTACGGAAAAAATTGCCCTCGGAAATCGAAAATATTTTGCATAATAAACAAGAAACGCGTTGTTTATAATCAGCGAATTTAGTTTTATCAATGAAAAAATAATGCAAGCTTTGTTTTGGAAAGGAACGGGGATAGAATTTCATATTAAAATTTTATCTATAATAAAGCACATTATAAACTTTTCCGAGACATTTCGAATTGTTTAATAAATCTTGTGTCGTTGTGGAATTATGCAATTTTTTGTGAGAGCAATTTTTCGTAACACACGGTATAACGATAATTGTACAAACATCGGCATAGCAGGATCGAGGGATTTCATGATAAAGTTTGTTATATCCAAATAATTTTATTATTATTATTAAAATTATCCGTGCAAGTAAAAAAGCCAAATATGTTATCCGCGGGTTTACTGCGTACCGTAAGTTTGACTCGTCGCATACAGAGCCAGATTATGAGCATCGACATAATTTGAACAGGCAGTCGCGAAATCCCCGATTCAGCATTCATGGAAATACAGATGCGCAAGTAGAAAATCTCGATTTTATGCTAGAAAACAAACGCAGTGTTTTGTTACGGTATGTTGACGAATGGAGTATCGTGTCGACTAACTGATATGATCAGGGAAGAGTTTTATTAAAAACAGGCCCCTTTGTTTGGTCAATTTATTATTACCGTTTCGTAGTTTTCGAATATTAATCATTTCAAGTGGAATCAGGTTAACAGTTGTATGGGTAGCTGATTCATACAAGTATTTATATTCATATTTCGACTGGAATCCATTCCAAATAGGCATAATTTGCGGTGATTGAGATTTCTTAATCAAGTCGTCACATGCGTTGACATGGTTTAAATTAATAAAATTTCTCGGAGAAAGTTTTAACTTGTTGCTTATACTTAACAAGATTAATATCAGAGCTTGTAAGTGATCAGTGGCTTTTTTTTTTAAATAAAATTTTAGGTAAGCAAATGCAAAAGTTATCTTACATTAACGGATTAGACTGTATCAGACAAGAGAAATTTATATGTTTAGAGGATTTTATTAACTTCGAAATTCAATGGAGAAACAGAATGGGTAGGATGGAATGTATGGTACAGCACAGAAGTAAATGAATAAATCCCACTTTAATGAATACCACGTGATTATATATGAAAGTTTGTTATATAGTTAAAAGTCTGCTTTAATGAATAGTCCACATTGACAAAGTTTTTTTGACAGAACAGAGCTCTTTGTTAAAGCAGACTTCACTGTGTATATCTTTATCCTTGTAGACAAGACCTTTCAATAAGCCATCCCATTACCCATGCTTGGTATTCCAATTGTTTGACAACTTCATCTTTGATATGGGATGAGGCCCGTTTGAAATAGTAATCTTTGTTATCTATATTATATCATCCTTAGGCCAGCAATGGAGTAGATGGCCACTAGAATCCTTTGCCTGAGCAATCAATCGCAGGAATGTTGCATCATTGACATCTTCAATAGCCTTCTTGACATGAGAATATGCTTTCTTCTCTGCAGTATCCAGATCATTTGGGTTTTGGGATAATATAGCTGTTGGAAATGCCAGAACATCTCTTGGTACTCCGCCTATCTTTACTAACTCATCCAACTCCCCTGGTGCCATGTAATAGTGAGATTGTATTTTTTTGTCAAGTAGTTGATTGGCATCAGAATTGAGACTTTTTGGTGACATTGATACGATAGTTTTAGCTTCTCTGATTGCTGATTGTGGGAAACTATCCACCAAAAACCATGTTTCAGGGATATCCAAGAAGGGTTCAAAATCTTCAATATTTCCAGTATTAGTATATTGCCAGCCACAATAGTGACAGTCTACTATTACGACTAAACCTTGTATGTATTAATAATCAATAAATCCATTGTCGTAATTCAATGTTATTGCTATTTTGTATGTTACGGTCGACTTTCTGAACCCCCATATGTGTTTACCGTCAGCCACAATACGTACAAAGTTTAGTCCTAATTGCGTATCGATAATTAATAAACCTATTGTCGTAATTCGATAACGCGCTGGAAAACCGAGAAGCAATTTTATTAGTCCGTCTTATTTCCTATGGTCGAGCAAAATTGTAATCGCTTACTACTGAATTATACAATAAAAGATAAAAGTTATCGTCTGCGTTAATTTGATGAAAATTTTTTTGGCAATTATCCCATCTTAAAATCCAGAATGAGCTGTAACACCTATAAGATGAAGGAGTACCATTATTACTTTTCAAAATGTCATCATCATACTGGTAATTTTACAGCCACATCATAGTCGACCTCGCATTATAAAATGTTCACTTGTCTGGTTTTGTTGCAGCATGCCCCCAAATGTGATTAAGTCTACGGGGTAAACTTGACTTTATTGTATTTATTTCAAGAACGGTTTTTTATTTCATTTGTTCCGGTAAACTTGTCGAAACTGAGCATGTTACGTACAATACATCACAAACATGGCTAATTAGAATTGGCCCTATAGCTGTATTTATTCAAAGAATCTAAGGTTGCTGGCATTGTGATTTCGACTGCTGCACGGTCAAATGACCTCGCGTATAAATAAAATTGTAGTACAGAATGTGATATCATGATGTCATACTAATACGCATACAACAATCACTTTTAGCACAATGACAAATTTTCACGAGGTGAAAAATACAAAGTCAGGGAGATCTACTAAAATATGTAGTATTATTTACTCGATTCTTAGGCATATTTGTGTTATATTAACATGATTAATGATGAATCTATGTTATTGTTGTTATGATTTACTATTACTCTTACATGTTATAACGAATACGCTATCTTAATTGTTGTGGGAATTAAATGATCCTTAACATATAACCTCGATGTTGAAAATAAATACATTATTAATAAAAGACTCGCCGAACGTTTGTATTAAAAACATCCCCGTTAATGACGCCGTCTTGGTGATTCATTAATATTAATTAAAATGTTCTATTATCTATATATTATAGTGTATGTGTGTATATTATATATGTATAGTTGATTATCCGAGACGGTGTTTCACTCCGAGATTGTTGAAGCAATGCGGACAGACATGTCTTACATCTGTAAAACAGATGAACGATCTTGTTACAATCTTGTTATAGATATTGGCTTATAAGGTTCGCTTTCAAAGTAGTAAAATCCAGTTACCTTTTGTCGCTTTAAGATAGAACGGTACCCAGAACAATACCACTGTTGTGACTAATAGACCCGATGCCAGTAAATAAGTGCATACTCCATTGCGATATCTGACGTCTGTTGTTACGAATTGTTTACAGTGTGGACACTGCACCCTAACGGGAAAATCAGGATATTTGAGAAACGGTAAGAGTATCGAGCTTTTGCATGGTGTGGATGTTCCAAAGTGGATCGAGAGGGGTTCTTGCGTCAACGATGTCATTTGTGATGTTTTTAATGCGACAAGAATATTAAATGTGAAAAAAAAAAAGAATCTGCGCGTTTATATATAAAAAAAACCGATTCTTTATTCATAATAGCATAAATTCCATTGTACTCATGTTCCTTGTATTCTTCTTATTGTATACTTCAAATTCGTGCTTTTGTACTACGCATGATCATTGCCGAAGGACAATCATTTGTTGATGGAAAGTCTTGGAATATTTATTAATAACAATATTATTATTATTATACACTTTTTTATATATGCAAATCGGGCGTCTCACGCTTATTGTTTGCAGGAAAACCGTCGAGTTGTTGAGAAAAGCAAACTCGTCCATTACTATTGTTTTTACTCACGCCGAAAAAGGAATCGGATCTCTTAATATTTTACTTGTTTTCGACTGGATTTGTTGCAAATTGCGAAAGTTTGGTTTTTGACAATAAAATTAGCATTACTGTTTTTTAATTTTGACAAAAAAGATTATTATTATTGTTAATTAATGTCAATTTCATGTGAATAACGCTATTTACGCACGCCGCTTTTGCACCCTGCCCTTTGCCGCCATCGAAATCTTACTACCCTTTTGTCCCGCTTTTTTTGTATATGCTAGCCAAGGGCACATAAGCATACGGGTCGGGCTTTCCTTTTTTCTTCACATCACCAGCAGCCCTCTTGGCTCTATACTCCTTGCCAACTACTATCTTTTTCTCTTTCTTTTTCGCATTCCTGACTGCTATTGCGTCTATGGGCTCAACGTCATCAAAATCCATGTCGTTTTTTCTCGTTTTGAATTTTATTTTATTCCCCTGTCCGCGAGTATACGCATTAACGGATCGGGATATCGTTCCTCGACATCTTGCATGGTCACATCTGACGTGACGTTGGCAACAGGATTGTCTCCATCATCAGATTCATACGGCCGTCACCCGTCGTTTTAAATGCTGATGATTCTTGCGAATCGATCGAAGGTTAGTTCCCATGATACGCGATACCACACTACGGTCAAGGAAATCCACTGGCATGTCTTCTTCCTCTTTGATCCATATTTGGGGAGATGATTTGTCTTTCTTTGATTTCGTGGGTTTGCGGGAAGCAAGTTCTTCGATTTCGTCGGCCGAGTCTTCCAAGTCACTCTCGCTTCCATATAAAGCATCTTCGTAAGCGCTTGACGGCGTACTTTCTGTACTTTTTGGCTATCTCTTCTTCTTCTTCTTCTTTTTCGTCATCCGCATCCATATTTGTATTCTATATGCCTCATTTTGACCTTAGAGTGGCCCTTGTGTTCGTGAGACCAGGTAAGTATTCCATTGTTTATTTGCTGAAGATGGGAGATAGGAAATCTGTAGACAACGAGACGATAACTACTTTTACAAAACCCAGAGCAGCTTTAACAATTTCTTTGGTAGAGCATCGAACAAAATGTCTATGGGTGTCGAGAGGCTTGTTGTAACAAACTAGGATCCAAATCATCTAGATTACATGCGAGATTAGTTATAGCTCGAGAATTTTCACCCTCTATTGAACAACATTCATTACCTTTGAATTCGAATATTAACCGAGATAGCGAGGCGATTGTTGCATTCATCATATACGGCGTTGTCGCAGCCAGTCCGGCAACAACCATGGAAAGTACAAACTCATTGATAGATGCGGATATTGTAGATGGAGCTATACATATTTCAAAAAACAATATAGAAAACCGGGTTACCGTACAATGTCTTGTAGAGTTAATCATGCAGGTATATATTTACCATCTTCAACGATTTCGTCGGGATCTACCACTCCTTGCATAGCAACAACTTCATCTTATTGCCCATGACGACAAACAAATCATAAGCGGCATCACGAATCTTTTTTGCTTCTTTTGTCGATAATATGACCTCGCTCAACACACCAGGTATCAAATGCAAATCATCCGACGGTAGTAACTTTACCACCCCACTCAACAGACACACTCGGTCCTAATGCGTGGCAAAATGAAGATTGAAAATCAATTTGATGTAAGGACCAAACATGCTTTGCAAATTAAATTCTACCTTTTTTCGCAGGAGCAGCAGCCAATGCAGTCGTCGCGAGCAGTTTCAGGTTTTGTGTGATAACTATTTTGCCATTATCTGTCCCCGACATCTTGACAAAGGCTTTGTATATCCTTTTTACGTTTGGTCCTCTTCAGAAAGTAGGTTCGAAATCAAGCCGTAGAATTATTTGATGTCTTGTAAATCCAGGTAAATCTAGCATAACGTGTTTTGTTGGTGGTGCTCGTCTGGTTTTGTTGTTATCTGCGCATGCTTCAATAAACAATTGAATAACTTTACGAAACGTAAGAGCAATGTCCTAGAACTAGACATGATATTGAGCTATGGACACAATTTAATAAAAACCTGAATTTCTTTCAAGCATACTTACCTGCGCACTCGTAATGCTCAAATATGTATTGATAACATCTAGAATGATTCCCGACTTCCAAGACATGATTGACTAAAGACATTAACGAATAATTAGGGGCATATCTTGAAAGTAGCTCAATGTTCGCTTTCGCGGCCGTCTTGTCCATTTTGAATCTGTTGTCGTCATCTTCTTTGAAAGTCAAGAATTTCTTGTTCTTCTCGACTAGTAATTTCAGCGCTTGACATATAGTTTGTCGCAGTCATATTTATGGACAAATATTTACCTGTGGTAGATCATACGGCAAATTGCAAAAGCCAGGCAAGAGTGACCATATCTGCTGTCATAAACTTTTGCCTCAATCATGCAATTTTTACTTTGAAATTCTATCGATTTCTGGGCAAGTTTTTCGCTCATGGGCAGCAATTCTCGTATAAAATAAGCCAAAGAGGTATTTTGAATATGATCTTTTAATAATAATAAAGGTAAAAGCCACGCGCGACCAATTTCCGTTGATCTTAATAAATACAAATACTCAATTAGTAATTAACGCGTGACAGAAAAGTCAAAACGCCCAAATAACGACTTACCCAGGATTCTCCAAGTTCAAAGGAAGTACCATCAAAAAAAATGGCCCACTAACCCACTCCTCATTTTTTGTTGTTTTGAAGAACTCCTAAACGAAGAAGAATACCTATCATGTATTCCTCTAACCATTGATTATCCTCCGGATGCTAGTACTTCGACACGTTCTACGCGAAATGGGGGTCTCTGGCCATCAAGAATAATGCTCTGGAATGGATTTCTTGAAGAAGTAACTAGTTTCAGCTTTGATAAAACAGAGCGAAAGTTTAGTAGGCCCCAATTCGTTGAAGGTATAAGAGCTCGTGTCAAATATAATGTTGAAACTGCTATGGATTTTAATATCTTTTGTACATTGAACTCTCTTTTGTCACCATCATTAGGCTTAAGAGCTCGTGTCGAAAATAGTGTTGAAACTGCTATGGAAGTTAATATTTTTCATATATTGAACTCACCTTTGTCCCCAACATTTGAGTTTTCGAAACAAAAAGATTCTGACTTTAATCCCGATGACCCGAACATTGGCCTTGGAAAACCAGATTTCACTTGCCGAAAGTATGATAGGTCTAATGATCAATACAGGAAAAAGGATCATCAGCATAGAAATCAAAAGAGATTGTGTTATGACACAATTACGTGACATTGCCTTTGATGAACACTTTACTGATCATGCAAGTGGCGATTTGGTTAATGTAATCAGTCAGCTATACAACTATATGGTTGCAGACGAATTACAATACGGCATACTTGCAACCTATGATTACCATTGGTTCTTTTGCCATCCAAGTGCTAATCCATCAATACTATTACTTTCTGAATCTCTTCTGTTACAGTCAACAAGTCCGCCAGTACTCAAAACTTATGCATACTTGGTCTGCCTGGCAACAACAGAACCTAAATCACCTCATCCAAATGTAATTTCAGGACGAACTAGACAAGATATCAGAATACAAGGTTCCAGAATAAGAATTCAAAACTCGGGTTTCTATAACCAAAGTTTCAGTCAAAAGTTTAGGTTCAGATAGTAGTTATCACAACCAACAAGATTCCAGGGACCAGAGCTCTGGAGTTCAAGATTCTATAACAGGAATAGAAGAACAGACTTATGGCTACAATGATTTCAAGCTTGAGGGTATTCTAGGATGTGGACAAACTGGGAGGACATTTCAAGCCAGATTCCATGGAGAGCCAATTGCTTTGAAGGTTATTGATCTATATAAGGAAGCTGATCTCTTGCATAAGCTTTGAAAAGAAATTGAAATATACAAAAATCTTGTCAAAATTCAAGGAATGTATATTCCCAAATTGGTGTGTCACAGTTATTATTATTATGGATATGGGATGGGCTATTTTATGGGTACCACTATTGTTGGTACTACTTTGAACAACCATAAGGTAAATTGTAACCAAAAGTATAGAGCTTTGGAGGCCTTAAAGGCTATTCATAGTTATAATATTCTTCACAATGATATCTGACAAGAAAATATTTTGATTAACGAAAAAGTGAAATTTATATCATTGATTTTGGGATGTCTGTTGTAACTGATGATTGGAAGCTATTTTATGAAGAGGAATGTGAATTATCCAGCTTATTAGCTCGCTATATGTAATGAATATTTGCTATGCAAAATTCATAAATTAAAATATTATTTGCACTATTAAAAGTAATAAAGACACATCTGCTTAGAAAACGAATAAATGTATGATTGTCATGATTAGTGTGTAGAATTAAACTTATATATATAGGATTACCTGTATATGGAAAATGATAACTATAATGGTTCTACTGAATATGAAAAAGCCATACGCTTCTTAGAGTCAGGTTGCAATTGTGGTTGCTCAAAAACGATTTCGAAAGAAGGGTTTGATGAGTTACGTGAGCGTTTCAAGCTCTCTCTAGATCCGAACAAGATATATTTTTAATGGCCCAGCTGAAAGCAATGAATGGTGGAGAAATAACTACCAGCTGACGTCTTAAAAAAAAACGCGTACTAATAAAAGGACTTTTTATTATTGAGACCGCAATACGCCACTTTGTCAGAAAACGTATCTCGATATGTTAGGAATTGGTCGCACTCATTTGGAAAACGTCAGAAATCATCTAGCAACGAATGGTATAATCCTACGTGTTCATGGTAATATCAAGCGAATGCCGCGGTGAAAAACCAAAATAACCATTGATATAACCGTTGCTACTGCTGTGAAGAATTTTCTCGAAAACTATGCCGAAATTCATGAGCTACCAAGTCCTGGTAAAATGTTAATCGCATTACTCAATCTCTTACACTTTTGCCAGCTGAAACGAGTTACAAATCAGTCTATCGTGATTTTATTGCAGGTCTCGGAAATGATAGCACATTGAAATTGTTAAAATATGATGCGTTTCGCAAGTTATGGCACCAATTAACACCTTACATTCAAATTATGTGTCCAAGAACGGATTTATGCGATACTTGTCAACATTTTCGGAACGGCTTACAATACAATGCTCGCAAAGAAGAAGCGAAAGATTTATTGAAAAAATTCAAAGAGCATCTAGTTAAAGCTAAGTTAGAGAGAACTATTACAACAAAAATACGAAACTGGCAGAAGAACAGAGGAAATTGGTAGATGAGCAGTTTATAATAAGAGGTAAAGCTGATTATTGTAGCGTTGACGCTACTGCTCATTACAGTTACGATTGGGCACAAAACGTTCACGTGCCCCATTCCGACCAACAAGTAAACAACCATAAAACATTTCATAGTGCCCTTATATTTAATGCCTCTCGTGATAGCAGTAAGATCTATTATCTTAGTCCGCGCAAAGTGCATTTATTTGGTATTCAAAATAAAGCAGTACGCGAACAAATTAATTATGTTCTCGATGAAGACGAAATTATTGGCAAAGGTCCTAATGGCATACTGAGCATGGTATTCAATGGAATTAAAAGATTGAATAAAGGCGAAAAGTACTTAAAGATTACTTGTGACAACGCCGGTGGGCAGAATAAAAATAATGCCACTATTTGATTTTATCTATATTTGATAATTTGCGGTTATTACAAAAGTATTGAATTAAATTTTATGATACCCGGACATACTAAATTTAAGTGTGATGGTAGTTTTGGATTGGTTAAGAAACTATATCGCAAAACGACGGTAATAGTAAATTGTGTGAACGATATTGTTGAAGTTGTGAAAAAATCGAGTACAACTGGATTAAACAAGGCTCAGTGTTATTATTATGGCAATGGAAAAAGCTTTCAGTACTTGGATATTAATTCCATGTTGGGGATTTTCTTTAAAAAATTGGATGGGTTGCAAAAATATCAGCATTTTTTTTTTGAAGCAGCTAATCCTGGTATTGTCAAAGCTCAAATGGTTGCTAATGGTGCTTTTACTGAATTCAATTTGTTAAAAACTAGAAAAACAAGTGTTTCTAAAATTATCAAAGAAATTAAATCTTTATCCATTTTAATGCTAACTCCTCCCCCTTTAGATTACAAAAGGCAAGAGTACCTTTACCAAAACATTCGTCCATCAGTCATACTGGTCAATTTTACAGCCACATCTTAATCAGCCCCTCATTTATGCCACATAATAGAATGTTCACTTTGTCTGGTTTTGTTGCAGTCTGCCCCAAATAACTCACATCGTACGCTATTGTCAATTATTTTGAAGATGCAGACTTGTTCGCATTCTCAAATTTCCTAATCATTGCTTAAAGATTTATCAATCAGTGATTTTAACTGTTGTAATACCTGCAAGAGTACATGATTCTACGAGACTCAGTATTGGAGAAACAATATATTGTCAAAACAGACTAACCATACTAAGTGCCACAATGATTATCCAGCGCCACACTTAGATAATAACAAAATCAACTTTATTAATTCGCATGTCATGCTATTGAGAAACAAATATATTCCACAAACATACAGTATGTATGGCTCTACTAATACTAAGTCATTGACTGATGACGTTTCAGAAGACTTACGTTAATAAATGATAGAAATATTGCAGGATATGTACTAGGGAATTGGGGAGAACGGTGGTATAGAGCAGTTTATTGAAAACCCAATTTTACATGCGAATTAATAAAGTAAAAGATTTTATCCAGCGTCTGCACCTGCCGTGTGACATAAACCTTTAGCCTACCTTTTTTGGGGGGGAAACTACAACTACACAAAGATCATACTTTTTTCATAAAATCGATTGTGCCAATCACATTCAGGAAAGTATCAAAACAAATCTGCTCGTGTCGATCAAATACACGTAAACGTGTGCGATGAAAAAATTTTAACTAGTAGACCGGATTTTCTTTTAGCCGATTAGAAAACTGTTTCGCGTAACAAGCAACGTTACGTTAGTACAGTAGTATCGGTAGTTATCAGTAGTGTGATTGCCAATTAGCTATTGTGTTAACCAAACTTTATATGTTATATTAATACTATCTCCCCCACCCCATCTCATTAAACGATGGGTGGCTGTTGTTCTCTAATACGACGAAAAAAGTACGAGCAATCCGGCTCCAAATTCAAAGTCATAGATGGACGACGATTTCAAATATTGGATGATTCAAACTATACTCTACCAAACGATGCAGGAGAAGAAGAGAGATTAGACATACAACACTTTGTCCTAAAACATGCATTCAACGGGAATTTTTCAGCACCTGTCGACCAGCTGTTGAGAAAGGGGGGGGCAAGAGTACTTGACGTCGGGTTAGTTGAGGTATTTAATGGAATTACACACCGATCAAATACTTAAAAGTAATTCAATTTCCTTCACAGCTGCGGTTCGGGCATTTGGACTTTCGAACTAGCCAAAGAATATCCCAAGTCTCATTTTGTCGGCATAGACCTTGCGCCTGTGAACCTTAAGGACGAAAAACTTAGTAACGTCGAATTCATAGAATATAATGTTCTTGATGGGCTTCCTTTTGAGAGCAATTCGTTCGATTACGTATTTGCCAGAGCTCTTGTCGCGGTGTATACAAGATCACAATGGACTGAGCTTGCTATTCCCGAGTACACGAGGATTATCAAGCCAGGCGGGTGGTTAGAGTTGATGGAGTGGGATACAGTTTTAAAAGGTGGAGCCGCAAATGTTAAACGTATGAATAATGCACGTAAGTTGAGGATAATGAACCGAGTCATTGAGGGATGGCGATGTGATACAGTGCCGAATATTTTACTCATCAATGATATTTTTTTCTCTTTAGTTATTGGCATGTGTGATCAAAAAGACCTTATTGCGGCACCTGGCTATGAAATTCAAAGCTTCCTTGAACAATCTGGCCATTATACAAACATTGGTTACGAGCAAAAGCCAGTCCCGATAGGACCAAAGGGGGAAAAGTACGCTGAAATGGTGAGTTTCTGTATGTAATGGTATGTTACTGGCTTAAGCCTTATATTTACATTAATGTTATAATATACAGGCAATACGAGACTGGCGAGATGTCTGGCAGGGCCTGAAATTAATCTTTTCGTCAGTCATGCAAGTGTCTGGGGAACACTATGATGCAATTTCCGAGGCTGCAGTCGGCGAATTGATAAAATCTGGTGTTATTTGGGAAAATATGAGAGCGTGGGGTCAGAAAAAGGATCGCATTTACACTGATTAGATGACTGACGGTAGTAATGTAATATTTATTTAAAATAAAATTAACAAATGGGCATTATATATCTATATATTATAACCAGTATTTAACTCAAAACAATTATGACAATAATAATAATATCAGATTTTACTGATCAAGAGATTTATTTACTTCGCATATCTCCGATATTTACTGTGCTGTGCTTTAGATTTGTGTAGGTTTGCGTTTTAGTATTCAGGTTAACTGTCCCTATAGACTTTTGTCAAGCTTCTTCATGTAGAGATATCATCAGTCTTCTAATAGTCGCTTTAAATTCTCCAATGGGAGTTGGTTAGTGAGATTGAAACGTAAAAATAAGATTATGAAACTCCTGAAATGATCTTCGTGTTTTGATCAACGAACAGCATGAAGCCCTTTTTTTTTCATTCCCTTGTTTGACTAGCAGCAAAAAACCCGTGGCGCTGTAGCTGTGCGGCTGGTGGCGTAGCGTAACACAAATAAAAATATTCAATATATTAACGACCATCCAATACAGCAATATGGGCGATTCAATTGTTCTAATAATAGTGATACCAAATTCAAATCATACGTGTACGACAATTTCAACTATTGGATAATTGAATTAAGTTTGCCAAGCGATTCGGGAGAAGAAGACTATCCTTTCAAAGGGATTGTTGGACAAACGTTAATTGAGTGAAGACGAAGTGTTTAACGTAATTACACACCAAGCGAGCGCTTTCCTTCACGTTGCGATTCAGTTACTTGGACTTTAGAATTAGCCTCCGCCCGATTCTTGCTCATCGGCATGACATTGCACCTACCTGTGATCCTTACTCGAACGGGAAAGTTTAAGTAATGTCGAATTCATAAAATTTAATGTTCTTGATGGAATTTCTTTCAATAGCAATTCGTTCGAACTGTTCTTTAAGATCGCAATAAACTGTGCCTACTATTTCCGAGTACCGAAAATTTACCAAGCCAGGCGTATGAGTAGATTTGGAATATTAGAGGTAAATTTGAGACTGTTTAACTTATAAATAAGGCATGTAGGTTGAGAATTTGAGTAGATAAACCAAGTCGTTGATGGGGAGTTGTCGAGTAACAGCTGTCTTTGGTTGGGTTACAAACATTGGTCACAAGGAAGACTGCCACTCTTTACGTTTATGTTTCGGAATGTTTAGCAGGTGCCTGGGGAACACTATAATAATATATAGCAATCCTGGCGTTTATAGATTATGGTGTTATTTAAAGACATACTGCTTATAAACAGTTATATTCTTTCAAATTGAGTAGGTCTTCGTAATCTTGCTATCTAACTCACAGAGTTATAATATTGTTTAAATAGCCCAAGTGAACCTTACCTAACATCTTTCAATAAACTTGCACTCAGACTCACAATGAAACTTTGGATACTTTTCACACATATGGTTAGATGCAAATATTACTCCTGTGAACGGTAGCGTTAAAAAAGAGCGATTTAATCAGGTGATCATAGTGCTGAGAGAATATGACGAACTTTCGCAAAATCCAAGTCTGAAACACTCAATTTATTTCTTATATTTTATTATTATTGGATTTTAATAGCTGCGGTATTAGAAATTAGTTCTCAAAGATATATATATAAACGACCTAATGTACAGCATGCTTTTGATGTCTTACTCGGCTGAATGGGCTCTGAGCAATAGACACTTAGCATCAATAATGCTGTCAGCATATGATGTTTGGCACATATTGCTTTGAACGTCTAGTGCTATTAGCGTCTGATATTTGAGACTGATCATCTGGAACGTCTAATGCTTTTGGTATATGATGTTTACATTGATCGCTTACTGTTTAATACATCGAGCAATTGATGCCTTCAGGTCCGTGATGACTTGAAAATAAAATAATTTTTAACTCTCGTTCTAATATTGGATCTAACGTATAGCTAACCGATAATTATGACTGATTGTTTACAATGAAAGGTTGAAATGTTAGATATTCTGAAAATCTCCCGAAAGGTTGAGAATCATAGAAAACGATTGTAATTAATGCTGTAATTAAAACGTTCTCGTTATTACGTTCGTTATGGATGAGAGTTAACGATGTTGCGTTAATATTATTATTTGTTTCAAAACGCGAACAAGTCTTTTCGTCGGCTTAAAACGTAGTGACTTTACTATGTGTTCCTGCGTTGCAAACATTTAATAACTTTCTTAACCAACATGGTAAAGGCTATGGTTCCGATGTGTTATTGTGAATAGGGAAAATGAATATCGTATCGTATAAAAATATAATAATAACTATAATGGTTGGATAAATTGTAATTAACCGTTCGCCGTCGAACTTAACACATCGATGAAGTAATCTCATTGCTATATACATTATCGTCGTTATTATTATCAACTGAGTATGCCACGGGAATCAACTTGTCGAATACTTGAGCTATTCATCCCATAGGTAGGATGTTATCCTTTACCTCACCAAAGAGAAATGCTAATCATTGGTTTACTTATTTTTCTCATAATCGGTTTGCTGTCCGGAGTTTAAAATTATTACTAATGGATTCGTCGTTTAGCCTATGATAGCGTATTCGTCGATGGATTACTTACCGTTCCGTTACGATGACATTACCGCTCGACGCCAGGCGAAGGGTATTATAACGTTGTTGAACTAAGTGACAGAGTATGCTTCTCTCACTCCTTAGAAGGAGTGGCCGAGTTTTCGGGAATATTCGTCTAGACCGTGATAATCGTTGTAAGCTATAGCATAGATGGCTATTACCAGAACATTGAGTACAGACAAGTCTAATTTTCCCTGTTGTATGTTGGCCACAATCCACGCTCAGTTAATATTGTTTGAATTTTTTCCCTCAACTCCATGTAAGCATCATTACCAAAAACCATTTTTTGAATGCATTTCTCCCTTCTACATAAAATATAATTTTTTATCATATTTATATCCCCATACTTTTGACAAGTTTCTTTTGAAATTGTGTCTCTTTTTATGTACCCAGTCATTTTAGGAAAGACTGTTATTCAATGTAATTTTTTAATTCTTTAGGAAGATAAAATTCTGGTTTTTGCTGCTGTAACCATTTTTGACAATGATCAACAATCTCCACTGTCAAGCAAACACTCAATTTTCATATGTTTTCCTTGTTTGATGGACAAGACGCTTACCATTAAGTAAAAAATAATTTCCCCAAGTCCTAATACAGCGTGATATGTAGTCATTCTTTTCCCAAAAATTTTTTGCAACTTGCAAACTTGCATTTATTTTTCCCCTTCCATTCAAACGCAACTGATAATATTGATGCAAGCTTAAAAGTTGTATATATTCATACGTGTCATAAGACTTGTTTAATTTAAGAATTTTGCAACGATTACTCAGATCTTCTAAACATGCTTGCAAGTCAGGAAAGGAAGATGACAGTAATGAAGATGTAAATGCTAATGTTGGTACCAATGCTGCTGATAATGTTAATGTTAATGGTTGAAAAAAATTGTCAATTTTTGCGAATAGATGCATATGTTCTTTTCTGCTTTCGTTTACGCCGCTGAGTTGTTCTTGACGTAGAATTATAGTATGTTTTTTTATTTCTTAATGCATCTTTTTTCCAGATTAACTCAAACCTCTTTTCAACATCTTTTAATCCTCTGCAGACCATATCTCACCATTCTTCAAAATTTGCGCTTGACCATCATTATTGATTCTTGTTGTTGATGTTTAGAAAAACAACCATCTGTATTTTGCTTCCTGTTTGCTACTTGTAGTTGGCGTTTACTAGGACGAGTCATTTTGCGGAGGACAATTATCAATTAGTATACCATCAATGCGAATTTACAAAACGATTTGGCGTATACCACATGATATTAGATTATTGAATTTTATTGGATAGTTTTTTCGTTACACCGCTGAAACATTGTCGAGTATAGAGAGTTGGGCACCAATGATATTCCTAACTTCACGTGCAACCAATCCTCTCTGCAAGCTTTCATCTATTCCTGAGGGCGTGCATTTATGGAGGGGTCACTGTAAGTGACACTCAAAAAGATACGATTGGTTTTATTAGGTAATTATTACTGCAATGTAATCGATAAATGCGTATCGCTTTTAAATTGACCAGCGTTGAAATTACTGTATGGGTGAGGATTCATCTACTCGGGAATTTTATTTAGTTTTCTACTACGTGCATGTAATATAGATGGTGGGTTACGGCACAGTTATAACGCCCAAGTATAAAGTACTGCTAAATTTAGTATCGTTTAGTTACATTTTTTTTACTCTTGAAGCAACGAATGCGAAAGATACATACTAGATGTGTTAGTAAACTTTAAGCTTAAAACGGATTATTTTATCATAAATAACCTTTACGGACGTTAAGTCAGGCATTCTATTAGCGAGATATACACCGTAATTATTGTATGTCAGTTGGAATTATAGAATAATGCATGGAATAGGGTATTTCTTGATAGTACGAATCTATTTCATTATTCGAATATCTCGAATACGGATCCACGGATTATTTATGTAAACTGATTTCTCTGCTGCGCATTTTATTGTAGTTACTGAATACTGGCAAATCAGCTTATAAGCTGATAGTCGGTCTGTGAGAATATTAATATACACGTAATTAAGACGTTTTCTGATCAATGTAAATTAAAGTTTTATGACAAATCTAGTTTGTAACATTCGAAGTATTCGCTGCTTTGAGAATAATAAAATGCACTCCGTTAACCTGGGTATCATTAATTTCCGAATATCCAATTGATAAACTTAAGCTTTCTATACATTAACTATGCGCGCGTACCGGTTTAACTTACATCCCTGGTGGCACACCCCGGGTGTACGCAAATAATCGTACAACCAGTGTATCTGTTATCGTACATCCGGGGTATAAGTTAAGGATACCCAGTAGAAATACATGCTGAACTACAAGTCGTTTTATCGTCATCACGTTTAAGAATACAAAAAACCATACTTTATTGACATAGTTTGATGATACAAAGCGTACTTAAGAGACATTGTAATGCAACATGCATAGGTTAAAATTTTTTAGTTACGACGACCCGATAACATAATAGTCAAGTGCCTGGTAGAACAGGCAGCCCGATAAATAATTTACGTTGTACATCCCCAAAATTTCTCAATTCATTTCTGCTTTAAGTATTGTAACAATACATAGGTTAAAATTTTTTAGTTACGACGACCCGATAACATAATAGTTAGGCGCCTGGTAGAATAACAGCCCGATAAATAATTTACGTTGGACATCCCCAAAATTTCTCAATTCATTGACTGCTTTAATGATTGCAACAGCACACTGGTGTGGCATGATTCTACGAAGATAATCAGGCCAAGGTCGCACAACCTGCCTCGTTGTACAGGCTCAAATACTATTTCAAATACTATTCTTTCATTGGATGCTCAACTGGCCTCTCCTTCATAAATAGAAACTGTTCCTGGTAGGCTGTGTGACCTTGGCAGGTAAATTCCTGATTATCGGGAGTAGGGCCCAGTATCGGAGAAACCCGGAAAATAACCTGTTGAGGCGAACCACCAAATATTCACACACCAACCATATTTGAAAATTCAATTTTTTGTGGGTCAATTCACATTGTAAACTGTGCGATGAAAATGCATTACCTACTGGATTGGATTTTCTTTCAGCCGATTAGAATTGAAAAAAAAAAAAAATCATGAAATACGTAGAGTAAATTGCGCAAATTAGCTATTTGTTTACTATTTGTGTTACTAAACTATATATGCTATTAATACTCTCTGCATCTCATCTTGAAAAGATGGCTGTTGTTCTCTGATACGACGAAAAATGAGCGAACGATCAAGCTCCAAATCCAATGTCATAGATGGGCGACCATTGAACGAAACAAACTATACCCTGCCACACAATGCAGAGGAAGAAGAGAGATTAAACGAACAACACTTTATCCTAGGACACGCGTTCAACGGGGATTTTTCAGCACCTGTCGACCAACTGTTGAGAAATGGGGGGGCAAGGGTACTTGACGTCGGGTTAGTTGAGCGAGGATGAAAGCGTTTAATGAAATTACCCACAAATCAAGTACTTACAATTAATTCAATTACCTTCACAGCTGCGGTTCAGGCATTTGGACTTTAGAATTAGCCAAAGAGTATCCCAATTCTTGTTTTATCGGCATAGACATTGCACCTGTGAACATTACGGGCGAAAAGCCTAGTAACGTCGAATTCATAGAATATAATGTTCTCGATGGACTTCCTTTTGAGAGTAATTCGTTCGATTACGTATTTGCCAGAGCTCTTGTCTCGGTGTATACAAGATCACAATGGACTGAGCTTGCTATTCCCGAGTACACGAGAATTATCAAGCCAGGCGGGTGGTTAGAGTTGATGGAGTGGGATACAGTTTTAAAAGGTGGATCCGAGAATATTAAACGTTTGAATGATGCAAGTAAGTTGAGGATGGGGATGAACCAATGCCACTGTGATACAGTGCCGAATATTTTACTCAGTCCATGGTTTTCTTTTCCCCTTTAAGTCATCAGCATGTGTGATCAAAAAGATCTTAACGTGGCACCTGGCTATGAAATCCAAGGCTTCATTGAACAATCTGGCCATTATACAAATATTGGTTACGAGGAAAAGTCAGTACCGATAGGACCAAAGGGAGACAAGTATGCTGAAATGGTGAGTTGTCAATTAATTTCTGCATACAATGGTTACTGGTTTGGCTGCAGCTCTTTACGTTAATGTTTATAATATACAGGCAATAAAAGACTGGCAACATGTCTGGCATGGACTGAAATTCCCCTTGATGCCAATCATGCAGGTGGCTGGGGAACAATATGATGCGATTTCCGAGGCTGCAGTCGGGGAATTGATCGAGCAGGGTGTCATTTGGGAAAATATGAGGGCGTGGGGTCAGAAAAAGGATCGCGTTTAAACTGATTGGTAGTAATAAACGAGCATGTAATAAATATTTATTTAGGACAAACAGTAAAACCGAATTAATAAATGGTATTTTATATTTATAATTATTTAACTCAGAAGCCAGAAACTGCAATAATAAAGTAAATCGTTAACTCATCAAATTTGGCCCGAGAGATGAAGCCAAAGTAATTATTAAACATATTGGTTAGGCCTTTATCGATACGGCATTGTTGACAATTTTTTATTTCTGTTATGACATAATATTATAATACGATTTAGAACTCTACTTCTCATTGAAAGCATGGGGTTGTTGCATCATCTATCTTGGATTTTGTTACGGGCCTGCGTCCTAAACGTATGGAAGAGATCGCCAGCTAATGTTAAGATTACCAGTTCTTTTGAATTTATCATTATTTGTCTTAATTGCTATAAATCGAGTATTCATCCACTTTCGCCGTGAATAATCCGCTGTATAATGCAACGTTCGGGACCTTTTTTAAGAGAGTCGTCCAGAAATACATGTTATTATGAATTAACCTAAATATGTGTCCGTGATAATAATCTGAATGACGGTTTAGATAATAACGTAAATCAATCTTGTTTATATCAAATGAAGTAGGTTATTATAATTTCATGATAGTAGGAATGCGTCACAAGTAAAGACACTTTTGGCTGAAATAATACGTGACTACGAATTAGAAAATGGCATACAATATATACTATTTTTTATATACTATACATGTAAGTATTAACCACGCTTAAGTAATAAATTAGAAACAATAAACGCTCTTTGCCAAAAATTATCCACAAACGATATTAACTCCCTGGCTATTCAGCTCTTCATGGAGTAAATTTCAACCAGAGACCGTCTACTGCTTGGTCAGAAAATAAAGCTATCTTTCCATGTAATTTTATCACTCTTACAAACTGCGTCTATATCAAAGTGTGTCGATCGCATCTCTGTCCACATGATCGATGCCCAAATATCGGGATTTTCCCATTGGCTGGGATTTTTGTAAAACATACGTACAGGAATTCTGCCTTTTGGTTAAAGTGTAAAGTTTTGGACTAGATAATCTTGTGCTAGCATCCTGAAGTTCGAATTGCTACTGCTGCCATGTCTTAAAGCTTCTTTGATGGTAGCTTGAGTATAGACCCAGTCTCTCAATTACCTCTTTTGTAGCGTCATCACTCTCAGCCAAATGCATTTGTCTAACGACTGGATAAACGTGTCAAATCGTCCAGTTTGGTAAGATTATTATCACCCCATACATCATTTCGTATTTTTGTCTGAACTCTGCAAATTGTGCAAGACAAAGTTGTATTCATTCAATCTAGCCCATAATGGTTGCGCTTCTTTTGAATGCAATGAATTACAAGTCGTTGTAATAAACAACGTTTTTGATTTCATGAAAGGCCCGCCACACGTTAATCGCACACATTGATTTTACGTTATCATTCCAATGTTCTGTCAATCTTGGAGACTGTCTTTTCCTCATCCCTGAAAAACGCAGCCATGTCAATAGTAACAGATTTATCTCCATTTCTTTGCGATAACCATTTTGAACCTTTTTGTCAATGATTTTACTAAGTATTTTCGTACGGCGTTTCGCAAATACCTTCTGGTATATTAATATTTTTTCTTTTGCGGATTGTCCAGACAAGTAAAACAGTGCATTGTCATTAAACATCTCCTTCATAAATTGGATGAACTCACTCGGTCTTTCAACATTAATAATATCTAACTATCACTAAATCGGTACCCAGAACAATAACGAACTTCGTATATCATGCTAATTTAGGTAATATTCATTAAACTGGATGATTTTCTTATTAGTGGGGTTGAAATTTATACAGGTTTTAATTATAATCTTCGTTAAACCGGAAGCCAAACACATATGAATGAATCGGTTCCATAAAAAGCTTCGTTATAAGGCCATCTTCGTTAAAGTGAACCTTAGTTAAAGCGGACTTTACTGTGTATACAATAAGAAGAATACAAGGGATATGAGTACAATGGAATTTATACTATTATGGATAAAGAATCAGTTTTTTTTATACATAAACGTTCAGACTCTTTTTTTTTCACATTTAATATTCTTGTCGCGTTAAAACATCGTGGACGCAAGAACTCCTCTCGATCCACCCACTTTGAAACATCCACACCATGCAAAAGCTCGATACTCTTACCGCACCGTTTCTCAAATATCCCAATTTTCCCGTTAGGGTGCAGTGTCCAACTGTAAACAATTACGACAGACGTCAGATATCGCAATGGAGTATGCACTTATTTACTGACATCGGGTCTATTAGTCACAACAGTGGTATTGCATTACTGTATATAGAGTTCTAACCAACACATCGCATGTAATAAAGATGTCTAATTCTTCACCCATTCAGGTTGCAAGTGATTGTGAGGAACAAGTCTCATCATCGTTCGATATAGAATCTTTTAAGACAAACATTGTTCCAGACATGTTTAGAGAATTTTATCAATCAATAGAGAAACAAATGAAACGTGCAGAAGTAAATTAATAAATCCGCTTTAACAAATATCACATGATTATATATATAACTCGTTACAGTATATAGATACCGCTTTAACGAACAGTTCGCATTAACAAAGTTTTTGCGGACTTCACTGTGTACTTCAATTATGATCGTTCCGAAGGACAATCATTTGTTGAATGGGCGTCTCACGCTTATTTGTTTGCAGGAAAACCGTCGAGTTGTTGAGAAAAGCAAACTCGTCCATTACTATTGTTTTTACTCACGGTCGAAATGTCTTTCATATTTTGACTGGATTTACTGCAAATTGCAAAAGTTAGATGGAAATCCAATTTATAGTTTAGAAAACTTCAGTGCTAGACAAAGATTTGAAAAATCAAACTAGCTAAAAATATCTCAGTTGGTAGTGGTTTTTGACAATAAAATTAGCATTACTGTTTTTTAATTTTGACAAAAAAAGATTCATTGTTAATTAATGTCAATTTCATGTGAATAACGCCATTTACGCACGCCGCTTTTGCACCCTGCCCTTTGCCACCATCGAAATCTTACTACCCTTCTGTCCCGCTTTTTTGTATATGCTAGCTAAGGGCACATAAGCATACGGGTCGGGCTTTCCTTTTTTCTTCACATCTCCAGCAGCCCTCTTGGCTCTATACTCCTTGCCAACTACTATCTTTTTCTCTTTCTTTTTCGCATTCCTGACTGCTATTGCGTCTATGGGCTCAACGTCATCAAAATCCATGTCGTTTTTTCTCGTTTTGAATTTTATTTTATTCCCCTGTCCGCGAGTATACGCGTTAACGGATTGCTGAGCTTCGAGATATCGTTCCTCGACATCTTGCATGGTAACATCTGACGTGACCTTGGCAGCAGGATTATCTTCATCATCGGATTCTGCAATTATCATACGGCCGTCACCCGTCGTTTTAAACGCTGATGATGCTTTCGGTTTCTTGCGAATCGATCGAGGGTTAGTTCCCATGATACGTGATACCACACTACGGTCAAGGAAATCCACTGGCATGTCTTCTTCCTCTTTGATCCATATCTGGGAAGATGATTTGTCTTTCTTTGATTTCGTGGGTTTGCGGGAAGCAGACTCTTCGATTTCGTCGGCCGAGTCTTCCAAGTCACTCTCGCTTCCATATAAAGCATCTTCGTAAGCGCTTGTTAAAGCCTGACGGCGTACTTTCTGTACTTTTTGGCTATCTTTTTCTTCTTCTTCTTCTTCTTCTTCATCGTCATCTTCCTCCATATTTGTATTCTCGGTATTCTTTTTCCTCTTTGCACGCTCTTTCCTCTTTTTAATGTTGATCAAGAGTTTCTTGTCTTCATCTGGAACACATTTTTCAACGGCTTCGTAGCCAAATCGTCTAATCAATCTCTCAATGATATGTCTCACTTTGACCTTAAAGTGGCCCTTGTGTTCGTGTGACCAGGTAAGTATTCCGTTGATTATTTGCTGAAGATGAGGTGTTAGGAAATCTGTAGACAACGAGACGATAACTACTTTTACAAAACCCAGAGCAGCTTTAACAATTTCTTTGGTAGAACATCGAACAAAATTGTCTACCGTGTCGAGAAGTTTGTGTAACAAACTAGTATCCAAATCATCTAGATCACATGCGAGATTAGTTATAGCTTGAGAATTTTCACCCTCTATTGAACAACATTCATTACCTTTGAATTCGAATATTAACCGAGACAGCGAGGCGATTGTTGCATTCATCATATACGGCGTTGTCGCAGCCAGTCCGGCGACAACCATGGAAAATACAAACTCATCGATAGATGCGGATACTGTAGATGGAGCTATACATATTTCAAAAAACAATATAGAAAACCGGGTTACCGTACAATGTCTTGCAGAGTTAATCATGCAGGTATATATTTACCATCTTCAACGATTTCGTCGGGATCTACCACTCCTTGCATAGCAACAACTCCGCCGGCCTTCATCTTATTGCCCATGACGACAAGCAAATCATAAGCGGCATCACGAATCTTTTTTGCTTCTTTTGTCGATAATATGACCTCGCTCAACACACTGGGTATCAAATGCAAATCATCCGATGGTAGTAACTTTACAACCTCACTCAATAGACGCAGTCGGTCCTAATGCGTGGCAAAATGAAGATTGAAAACCATTTTGATGTAAAGACCAAACATGCTTTGAAAGTTAAACTCTACCTTTTTCGCAGGAGCAGCAGCCAATGCAGTCGTCGCGAGCAGCTTCTTTTGTAGATCATCCAGGTTTTGTGTGATGACTATTTTGCCATTATCTGTCCCCGACATCTTGACAAAGGTTTTGTATATTCTTTTTTGCGTATGGTCCTCTTCAGAAAGTAGGTTCGAAATCAAGTCGTAGAATTGTTTGGTGTCTTGTAAATCCAGGTAGGGGATCATGGTAATAGCCAAATCTAGCATAACGTGTTTTGTTGGTGGTGGCTCGTCTGGTTTTGTTGTTGAAGGCACAGGATCTGCGCATGCTTCAATAAACAATTGAATAACTTTACGAAACGTAACAGCAATGTCCTAGAAATAGGCATAATATTGAGCTATAGACACAAATTTAATAAAAATCTGAATGTTTTTCAGGCATACTTACCTGCGCACTCGTAATGCTCAAATATGTATTGATAACGTCTAGAATGTATTCGCGACTTCCAAGACAGGATTGACTAAAGACATTAAAGAATACTGCGAGATAATTAGGGGCATATCTTGAAAGTAGCTCAACGTTCGCTTTCGCGGCCGTCTTGTCCATTTTGAATCTGTATCCAAGCTTGTCGTCATCTTCTTTAAAAGTCAAGAATTTTTTGTTCTTCTCGACCAATAATTTCAGTGCTTGACATATAGTTTGTCGCAATTCAGGTTTCTTGTACAACTTTGTGCTTAACATTTCCGCCGTTTCCTTTCTGAGTGCCTTGTTTTACGCATCGACACCCAAGTCAATATTCGACTTTGAAGATGATATTCATATTTATGGACAAATATTTACCTGTGGTAGATCATACGGCAAATTGCAAAAGCCAGGCAAGAGTGACCATATCTGCTGTCATAAACTTTTGCCTCAATCATGCAATTTTTACTTTGAAATTCTATCGATTTCTGGGCAAGTTTTTCGCTCATGGGCAGCAATTCTCGTATAAAATAAGCCAAAGAGGTATTTTGAATATGATCTTTTAATAATAATAAAGGTAAAAGCCACGCGCGACCAATTTCCGTTGATCTTAATAAATACAAATACTCAATTAGTAATTAACGCGTGACAGAAAAGTCAAAACGCCCAAATAACGACTTACCCAGGATTCTCCAAGTTCAAAGGAAGTACCATCAAAAAAAGCTCTGGCTCTACGTGTGTGATAGCCGCTCCAAGCGTCTTGTCGGCAACATCCTTTAATCCGAGCGCAGAATCGACTCTCAACTCGGCAATCCTGTCCAAAAGATGCAACAAGAGCTCTTTGGATGATTTACCCAGTCGTTCAAACATCGTCTTCAATATACTCAAAATCCCTCCCCACGCAGCTTGATATTTGATCGAAAACCCTCCTTCAACTGTTGCAATAGTTTTTGCCAAAATAGTGCTTTCACGTTGAGCGTCCGATTTAGACAACGTCTCTTTAACCATTTCATCTGTTATGCATTCAGACACCAGTGTCGCGAGACATCGAGAAGCAGCCGTTATTATAACTGGTTTGTCGGATTCGACAAGCGTAAACAGTATCGAGAAGAAATCATGGAAGGATTGTGCGCTTGATGATGGATCAACTCTGAAATAAAAAAGTGAAAAAGTCAATATGACATAACCCCTCAATGCTATATGATTGTTTAAACTTACTTTGAATACATTACATAGCCTCTCGAGACCACTTCTAACCACACAGGAGCTACTTGGACATCTTGTATATTTGGCGTGAGTTTGACTAAAGACTGTTTACGAATTCAAACGGTGAGATTTCTTTCATTACGCCCGAATACCACACGAACAAATAACAGCAAACATACTTTTATTATATCTTCGATTCCGTTGTTGGCAAATCCATCACCATTATTTCTAAAAAGAGCTTCAAAAACTTCAAACGTTGATACAGTAAGAAAGGCGTCATTGTATTTAGGTAAGCTCAACAGAGTTTGACAGAGAATCGTAAGACCCTGATGATAAGATGCAAAGTTAGTATTATGTCGCGAGTGGAGAAAAAAAAACTCAAGGCGTACGTACATTTGCCGGCCAATTTCCAGCAATTGCCTTGACGAGCGAAAGTATATGCATCGCCGATTGTCTATCTGACTTTACGTTGGTTTTCAAAATCCTCAAACAATATTCTGACGCCATTCCAGCGGCTGGATGGAGAACAGATGATACCGGAGGATGATTCAGAATACTGATTACGGCATCTTGCGCTCTCTTTCGTGGCTGAAAAAATTAAAGCAAAAATCTCATCAGAATTGGTCTAACCGAAAGCAAACTGGTTGCCGTAATCAATACAGCCCCGATTGCTATTTGGTATATGAAACAACCTTGGGCCTGCGATCCACAGAGAGTAGCAGCAAAGATGTAAATGCCTTCCTAGCTAATGAATCATTCCATTTTTGCGCATCTTGGACGAGGAGGAGACTTTCCAGACACCCTGCAACCGATCTGAGCATAGCAGCTTCTATCTCCTTTTCTTCCAAGACTTGTGATAATATTGACCATATTTCATTGAACTTATTGCGCAATATTGCTTGCGGCAGTCTGCGTTAAAACAGCACCAACTGAGTCAGTTAAATCAAGACGGGAAATACAAACGATGGGTAATACGTACTCGGGTAATACCATATTCAAAATGTACAAGATCGGTCCACGCAGCTCTTTGGCCTTTTCGTTTTGTGACGTTTGATCAAGGATTGTCATCTAATAAACGGAGTTAAATTCTGTATACATGAAATGCATATTAAAGGGTTGAATGGATCGATTGATCTTACTAGTGCACCAAAATATGCAGTCGCTGTGGCGGCAACATTCTGCTCTTTGATCGTCTACAGGATTCGACGCTTGTTAGTCGAGTCTGAAAATCCCAAGGATCAGACTGAAGGTGCGTGAGCACTCACTTGTTCAACGGCCAACAGTAGCTGAGCAATCTATGTCAAATGTTTTTTTTAGTGATTGAATTCTACTAAACACAACAAAATGTCAATGATTACAGACTTGTTTCTGATTATCCAGTTTAGAGTTAATCTGAATACGAATCTTTTCAAATTTTCCCTCCATTACAATGTCCCCAATTGCTAGATCGAAAGTAGGTTTAAATAATAAATAAAATGGTTCGTGGAACATGAATTCAAAAATTTTTTTTATTTAAATAAAATCTGCTGATCGGTACGTCACGTGCATGACAAATCATAGCAACTTCATATTCATAGTGCAAATGATTAATATGTACTAGTAATTTTAAACCCAAAGAGATCAAGCAATTTATTTTACCAGCAGCGCAGAATTAATTCGTTTATTTAAACAAGCAAAACAATAGATATTATGCAATACTTGTTATGGCGATTTATCTCAGTCTAAATTCTGCCGTATTCAATATAAAGTAGTACCCACAAACCGGTGCAATTAAATATAAAACGGGACGGACGAGTAGTAACGTATGCTCATTGTAATTGCTCACAAATCGAATGTAATATAGTCTTGATAAAATTTCAGGTCACTTTGCAGGCAACTATCTGGACTATACCAAATGATCTTATTTACAAGCCAATGCGCATATATTAATATAATTATGTTTCTACATTCTCTAACGGTTGTCTTGTAATTATTAGCGACTTTCTCTCTCAGCGATCGCTTTGCGTACTTGGTTACTCTGTTAAAGCTTGATTGGATCAAGTTGCCTTCCCAAATATGTAATTTTGAGCACGTTTGATGTATAAAATAATATGCTACTATTACTATCAAACAGATTATTTTGAAATCAAGAGCGAAAACGGATTAAGCAAGGAGTCCTGGGAATGCGTCAATATTGATGAACGATACGTGCTATTTTGTTCCCGAGATACCTTCATAATTTTTTCCAAGAATATGTTGCATTCGAACGGGATGCGATGCATTCAATCTCCCGTAATAGTAAAGCAGAATTGTTAGAATTGGTTAGAATGATTCATTTTTAACTTTCCAACCCATGTTGATTATCATCAAATAAGGATATAATTCAACATAGAAACTGCAGGATTGATTCGATACGTGGGACACGCTAGCCTCAATGGGAGAGACATTTCTCCCCTGACTATTGGAGGCACTTGTGACCACTCAATCATATAGCCCACGCATTCGGATTTACGCACAAAGTATTTCAGTTGATATGTCCAAAGAAAAGGATGAAAAGGTAGCGGTGCATTCGATGCAATAATTGCTGATTTCTCACAAACAAGTCTTCACGTCCTTACACTTGATTCTACTTCTTGCTAGCTCAGGGTATATAGCAGTTCAAGACCACCGTCCTTATTCAAAAACCCATGTAAAGGAAAAGCCCCACCGCGACTCCCAACCCTTGAAGATACTGCCTTTTCGCTTACCGAAAACGGCAACGTATATTTATTAAAACGAGAATACAACGAAGCACTCAAAGCACTCAACAAAGCGCTCGAACTGCTGCCAGACTATGCAGCAGCGCTCCAGACACGCGCAGAAGTTTATCGCATGTTGGATCGTTATGAGGAAGCCCTCGCTGATTTCAATCGCGCATTGCAATTCGAACCCAACAGCGTCTTTGCGCTCACTAATCGAGGGGAAGTGTATAGAATGCTACACAAACCACACGAAGCCTTGGAAGACATGAACAGAGCTCTGCAAATACGTCCAGATAACCCTCGTGCTTTAGAGACTCGGGGCGCAGTGTATCGGAAACTAGAGCAGTACGATAAGGCTCTTGAAGATTTGAGCAAAGTCTTGGCATCTGAACCGAGCAACTCGTTTGCGCTTGGGATCAGAGGATCCGTTTATCGACTGATGGGCGAATACCACGAAGCGATGACAGATCTCGACGAAGCTATAAAAATAGATCCGGAGAATGCGTTCGCGCTCGAGAATCGCGGCAATGTCCATCGACTGAACAATCGCTATACAGAAGCTCTTGATGATTTTGACAAGGCGTTACAAATAAAGCCAGAAAATGCTTTTGTTCTCAGAGCTAGAGGTGAAACTTATCGCATGCTGTATTGCTATGACAAGGCCATTGCGGATTTGAATCAGGCATTGGAGCTCAGACCTAATGACGTGGATACTTATGAAGTGCGTGGCGCTGTGTACAGAATGCAGGCAAGGTATGCCGAGGCGTTGGATGATATAAACAAGGCACTGGATATTGGTCCGGCCAGTTCGTTTGCCCATTTGATTAGAGCTGAAGTGTATTGGAAGTTGAAAGAACATGATAAGGCAATAGTCGAATTTGAGAAAGCTCTAGAGTTAGAACCTACTAACGTCTGGGCGTTGTGTTATCGTGGAGAGTTGTATCACGAGCTGGGAAAATTAGCGGAGGCGTTAGACGATTTGAATAGAGCCATATCGGTCCCAACAACTGAGTGGTTTCCGCTGGCTGCGAGAGGGGCGATATATAGATCATTGAAGGAATACGACAAAGCTCTTGGCGACTTAAATTCTGCACTAGAAAAGAAGACGGATGATTTGCATGATCTGGAGTATCAGACTAAAGCACATTATCATAGAGGATGTATCTATAAAGAGACAAATAGATATAAAGAGGCTTTAGATGAGTTTAATATGGCTTTGGCGAGGGAATCGGATAATGTTAATGCTTTATATGAGAGAGGTTGTGTATATCTGGAACTTTATCAGCATAAGAACGCACGTTCCGATTTTGAGAATTTGTTAAAGTTTGATTCTAATCATGAGGAAGCAAAAAAACAATTGATCATAATTAGTGATATTTTAGTTGGAGATTCGTGTACAAATGGTTAATGTTTTAATAGTAAATAATAGAGTCAATCGAATAAATTTCGGCTATGTACTATATATTATTTACATTGTATATATATGAACATGATGTCACACATATTCAGACATTGTCCAATTCACGATTATAACGCGTGTTCTCTAATTGTTTGATTGTACAGTGTCTTTATATAGGGTCGTCCCTCGTTTATATCACCACCTCGGGACGGGACGGAGACTTTTGGAGTATATCTGAATTGAGGTTAACAGTGAGGAATTTATGCAAAGTGGTGACTAGTAAGAGAATTAGATACGTAGAGACAGAGTTGCTGGCTGTCCCAAGAGTTGGTGCATATTGATAATCGGTACAAAGGTTCAGGAAAGCGTTGTTCAGACTGCGTAGTAATAGTCACCTCGATAATCGTATCGTCGTGACGGTTTCTCCGATTTCTTCCGGCTAAAAATTTACGTGTTAGACAAAAAAAAATAGACAGCTCTCTCCTGGCGCAGTATTGAAGGATCTACTGGTAGCAAAATTTTTATTCGTATCAACATTTTTATACTAATAAAGTATAATGCTGCTTGACAAAGCAAACGCGTTTATAATTTTTGTCTATTGCTTCGATGCATCAGCCACATCGCACTAATCTCCCGATAACTAATGTGACGCCAGCGTCAGAAAAGAAAAATTCAATGAAATAAAGTTTGCAACTATTTATTAAGATTGTTTGTTAATGCGTCAACGTTACGCGGTTTTATGACTTTTCGCCTACTGCAACAATGTTTGTTAGCTTTATAAAAGAGGTGAAATAAAGAGGCAAATCATTTATTATGCGACTTGACCAGATAGCCACCAACTCCTATTCACCCACCAGAGGAATATAGACAACTATTAAGAGATGCCGACTACTGATATCTGAACTTGCATATCAATTCGTAAAAATTGAAGTGCTTACTCTCAACTTTCATAAATTCAGAAAGCGAAGACTGTCCTCGATTTATTGGAATTTGTACTGAAACAAGAGTTTGACTTACAAACGATATTAATATGCTTATACTTACATGGCAATCATTACCTTGAAAGCATGGTTTGTTTCATAGACTAGTGTGAGTATGTCCAATTCAGCCACAATCTTTAGGCAACAGCCCTTCAAATAACCGGTAAGAATTACAATGTATAAATAATAATTGCACATTTCTAACTTTCCGCGTTAGTAATAATAGCCAATGCGAGACAAAAGCCTGCCCTATTTACTGTTCAAGAAAAGCAGACATACCGGCCGTATCTACTAAAAAGTACAGATAAATAGTCCGTAAAAGTTATCCAATTTAGTAATTTGTATTCGAGGGATCAGTGCGCGTTATACTGTATTTATTATTTACACATAATTTACAAGCATTTATACAACAAACTCTAACTTTAATAATTTATTTTGATTAAGTTAATATATCGTTGCAGACAAGATTCTCACTGTATAAATAACACAAATAGTAATACATTATAGATAGCTCACAGAGTGACGTATCAGACCGCTTCCAAATCATAGAGATATCAATTTCCTCGAGTAATGAATGTTACCGATAACTCAGTGTGACTTTTATAAATCATAACTTCTTTTAGACCCTCCTCAAGCTGTTTTATTTGCCAGTAAGTGATGCCAAATAATGCTCCAACAATAAGTTTCTTTAATCTCTTCATCTGACTCGCAATGTTAAAGATTACATGATAATTATTCCTAGGCAAGATTGCCAAGCGTATTGATAATTTTTTCAGAGTGTTCTTATGTTTCAGTATATCATCAGCCATACATTCAACCTTTGTAAGTGTCGTGGACGATATCAAAAGTTCTTCCAAGTGAACTTGCTTTGAAAGAAATACTAACGCTTTGGTGTTCTGTATTCCGGTTGCAAGACTGATTGATCTGACACTACTAGGAAAGTCTATATATCGTATAGCCTCAGCTGGTATATATTCAAACAATCTTGCCTCTTTTAATCCAAGACTTGTTTGAAGAATGAGTTTCAACAGTGCGACGTATATTCTCTTCATGTCGGATCCTGTCTTCACATATAACAGAGTATCGGTAATGGAATTGAGTGGAAGAATTTTCAGATAAGACGGATAGTTAAAGGTTGACAATTTACGTTCGGGAATATCAATTAACTTGCTGATACTCTTTTTCTGATATGAAGGTAAACAACTAAGATAAACTTTAACAAGTGCTTCGGCAGACCGGCCTCCTGCGTTAGATGTATAGGCGAATGGATTTGCCCATAACTTGGGAATTACCACTGTGCACCAACTCCGATTAACAAGGGACAAATCATACAGAGTATGCACATTGTGGTTCAGAGAATCGACTATTTCGTTAATGATGTCGGGGAAATCGAACTGGACCATATTCAAAGGTTTATCTGGATTTGATGTCTCACACACATTTATGGATCGACACGTGATGATATTCGGTGTGACAGCATCAAGCGATCCAGTGGCGTTCCATAGCGCATGCTAACTAAAATTAGTAGGGTCACTACCCTACTCCGTGCAAAATTATTGGCATGACAATATTCGTATTTTTGTTATCCTTAACCGAACGTTCTTTGCACTTTTTTAGCTTCTTCCTTATGAGCCTGATACTGTAATCCATTACAAAAATATTAACCTAAGTCCGTTCTCGGACTCACGGTATAAATACAAGACGTTAATTGGCTCCATAACTTGCGGATTGCAAGGTGCCATCGCTTTTCAAGACCTGCAATAATATTATAAATAATTTGTAACTTGCTTTGACTGATAAACGTGTAAGCGATTGAGTAATGTGATTGACATTTCTACCGAAACTTGGTAATCCATGGATTTTAGCGTACTTCTCGAGAAAATTTTTCGCAGATGTAGCAGTAGTTAAATCAATGGTTATTTTGGTTTCCCACCGCATACTCTTTTGCATTACCATTAACACGTGGTATTATATTATTCGCTGTTAATATTAAATATTAAGCAATTTTTGATGAGTGCAGCAAATTTCGAACATATTAAGATACGTTTTCTGACAGAGGAGCGTATCGCAATTCTATCAATAAAGAGTTTTCTTTTTAAGACGTCGGCTGGCAATTATTTCTCCACCATTTGTTGTTTCAGCTGCTGACCATTTGGATCTAATACTAGAGAGAGATACAGATAGAGAAAGCTGACAGGAGAATTTAAACGTTGCATTCATAAGAATGACATCAATTAAGAGATTACTATTTTATCTCTAACCGCGTTGTTCTCGTTATGTAAATTATGATTTTGTTGGTAGTACTATCCGTTATTCGTAAAACGCCCAGAAACTATACTTTCAACGAGTGTCTAAGATTTAAGAACTGCGTAATAATAGTAGAAATGGACAGATATGAGACATTTCTAGAGTGTGGCTGCAGTATAGTCGTAGCAACAGCAACGTTGTAGTTTGCGTCGGAAGAACACTTTTGTATAAAATTGGTGTATATTGCTAATCAATTATCCTCACTTTTCTACATGTTACGGAAGGTATAGGTACAAGCAGAAACTCGCAATTACCAAATTTCATTTCGTACAAAATTCGTCGCCGAGCTTGATATGATAAGACTTCGATGATTTCCCGTATTAGTATGGGTTTTTTGTTCATGCGCAAATTCTTTCATAGAGATAGATTACGTGGCCGGCAAAAACCGTGTGTTAAGAGCTTGTTTTTTTTGAGGACTTGGTTGTGAATTATAGCAGACAGTCGTATATACATCATGGGAGTATTGTTGCGTTTTTTTTATATTCTTGTTTAGTCATTCACCTAGACTGAGTTGATGTCGAAGGTTAAGCGTCTTGACGCATTTCTGTAGCAAGCGTTGAAAGTTAAGTTTGTCAAAGCCGTTCTTCACGCAATATATAAACGTCGTATATCCTTGAAAAATATTATATGTTTTGTTTACTAAAGCTAGTCTTCAACCACCGGACTGGCAAGGCGTCAAGGTAGCAGATCCGATGTTAAATATGTTGCACTCAAAGTTCTAAGAGTATCCATTAGAATTAATCCTAATCAGGAATTCATCCATAGTACACGGATAAATACTTTTTTTTCTAGGCAGTATAATAGTCGGACAACTTGGAATGAAGAAAACGTTTCTCCCGATCAAATACTTTGAAGCCGCTTCGGAGCTAAACCGGATATTTTCTTGATTCTCATTTTAGACAACAACTAAACTGGAACAAATCGTCTTTCACTAGCTATAATTTAGAAGAGAATCATGACAAAAGTACGCCGTATGCATTTACTGTGGTAATGCTGATCATGGGCTCTAGATTACATAAATGATTTACTATTATTGTGAATGTGTCACTAATACCGTAATATGAAATCATAACATTTTGCTTCGTGTGTTTGAAGAAATGAGCATTACCTTTAAGAGATAATAGCATCAGTAACATTATTTTCATAGTCAGTATAATGACTGTCAATGTGCCCGACCTTGGTCTCGTACGTACGTATATGAATCCTTTGTCTTCCATTATTTGGGTGACAAGAATAAAGACAGCGATGTGGATCAGAGTTAATAGGTTCCCGATACATTGTCTCTTGACAAGATCCTTTGCTTATTAAATTCAAATATATGACAATGTAATCTAACCGAAACAGAAACAATGTTTAACTATACAATATGGTAAATAAGATGCGTTTGTTTCACATGTGTTGAACGACATTGTTTACTTTGATCGACTGTTCCGACCGGGCGTGCACATTGTCAATGTAATAATAAAGGTGATAAAACGATCTAGTGTCAAAATTGTAAATGTAACCATCTTTAAATGGTAAGTCACTTGATAAATTTGAACATCGTCTTTATCGACTGCTTATGGAGCGACCAAGCAAAATAATCACTTGTGGGGTAATGCTTGCATACCTTTACATGAACCAAGTCTTAACGATTATTGCACTAGAACACAACAGATAACATATCTACGCTCATGTGGGGTTGAGTAGGAGATCCATCTACTTATAAGTTGCAGTTTCTCTTCCGTGTCTGAACAACAAGCTGCTCAAAATTCAAAAGTTTTTGAACATCAATTTAACTCGATATATACACACACGCCACATTCCATAATCTTGCTATCCATGCTTATTATAATGGTTTGCAAAGACATCAAGAGTCAACATGAAAACTTGCCTACGAGTCAAAAGAAGCGTGCGTCTAAAGGGCAGCAAAATTCATACAGGAAGAAGGCATCTCCAACTAACACTGTAATTCCAATGAGCGACGTGCGTTTAGCAAATAACTTTCTATTAACGAACAACGTACCAACGAACGACGTACTGTATATGGAAGTTACCTATCCACAATTTACTGAACTATCTACAAGACCAAATATCTTTGATGGTCATAATGGCTATACTTGTATGACGTGCAACGGGAATGTATCTTATAGAAATAGGCATAACACATTTGGACAATTTGATCGTCTACTTGATTTTATTTGGTATAGTGATGGTTATACGGAATAAGATAAGCGGTATGCTGAAATAATAGCGATGACAACTTGGTGAGGATATGTATATTTATTTATTTAACGCACTTTGAGTTATTATTCCAATATCTATGATTTGTTTTATTTAATTTATTTCTTATTACTGTATTAGTTTTCAGTATATATCCGAACATTGATGAGCTATATGATTTCTTAGATCAACATATATATAATGGCGTATACCAGATTCATTTCACACAGCGATACGTTTTCTCTTTTTAATTTACATACGATTTCCTGTTACATCAACCAAACTAATACATAAGTTCAATATATCGTTGACATTATATGTTCGACATACAATACATAAAGAATTGTGCCGAGACGTGTGAAAAAAAAGTCTTATAAACGAGTGCTAATATTATAGTGTTAATATTAAATATACTGTAATTCTCCATTGTCTATGTCATCAATGGGGTAATTTTTAGATAGCACATTATTGCTATCGACTATCAATAATAACACATAAAACATTCATGTCGCAGTATTACTGAAGTATATGTATCTCTTGAAAAAAGTCATTGCAATTATACAACCAATCAAGCGTGGGAATTTCAAGGCTTTGGCTAAAAACTTACGATCCAAAGAACAATTTATTCAAATTTTTAGAAATGTTAATACAGCAATACTCAATCAAAAATCATCATCATTAAATTTTTAAAAATAATTATTGACTAAATAAATACTCAATAGCTGTAAATGATAACAATTAATTAAATTTGTCCATATTTTGCTAAATTTCATCAACCGATGGACTCGTGAGAAACACACTCTTGGAAAACTTACAATTTGTTTATTACAAAAATAAAAGACGTAATAAAAAAACTTTTCCAAGTAGTAATTAGTTTTTTACAAGCACAAAACAACTATGTAACTCTACTCAGTCAACAATATTTCAATATAATTTAGCAAGTGCTTTGTAAATGCAAAAACTAAAACTTACAACTACCACTAATGCATTCATTTACAACAAATATTACCCAACAAAAAAATGACCAACGCAATTAATAAAAAAATTCATAAACTAAAACATATGCAATACGTAAATTCTCAGCCATTATTTGCGTATTGTTCAAAATTAATGAATATGTCAATGATACAACAAAAAAAGTAATAACAAATGTATTAGTATCGGCGAAAAATTATATTTAAGTTAAATAACCATAATTGTACAACCAGTTTTTAGAAAGAAATCACAAAAACATTAAAATCATTTAAAGTACTCCCCCTTTTAACTTCCCAATGTCTAAATCTTATACCACACAAATACACAAGTTTTATTTTTATTTTTTCCTTTTCGTCTTTCTACACACAAAAAATTACAACTTTATTATAATCGTTCATCTCGGTGATTCCAAACTAGGTAACTGCTCGTAAAACAAAAAGCGTGAGAACACTGACGAATACTTTTAGATGGTTTTTTCGAGTAAGAATACCCAACACGGAAAGTTTAGAATTTACATAAACTCTCATCGGAATATTGCGGAATTAAAATTTTTCTCAGCGAAGCAAATAATGATGCAAAACCCTCGACAACAGCTGCTGAAGCTATAAGCCTATAATTTATATACTCTGTAAAAGTTAGAATAATCAATAAAAGTGAACTAACTACCTTCGCATTTATTTAATTTACATCCGATTAACATTGCATTGTATATGACAACTCAAGCTTGACAGGAGTAGAATTGGCGAACAATGATTCACGATCTAATATTAACTGAAGATCGTTGATATTAATATAACGGAGCACTACCGTATATATGCGAGTATAGCAATCGTAACTATTTTGTCTATTACCACAAGGGTAAATAAACAAGACATTTTCCTTCTTTTGCTAATTTGTACAATCTTATGTATCCATAATTTTAATAGCGTTTGGCAATTTCGCCATAATGGCTATATTACAACATACAAATATATATACATTTGTTGCTTACATCTGCGCGCAACATTGATTTTTTCACTCAGTTATCAGGTTCTCGTCCTCGAGCACGACCGTCAATTCCATGAATTCAAAACGCGAATTCTTCGACTGACCGAGACATGCCATCAGGGACATCTATCGAAATAAATTGTTAATTGGTAATTGGTTAGAAAGAAGCACTTGAGATTTTGGAAATGATGTGACCAGCAAGGAGAGGATTAAGAATACCTTTATGAAGATAACCGCGTAATGATAATATTTTAACTTTTTACATGGCAGAAATTCTTTTCTTGTTGTTGGGGGGGGGGGTTTCTCTGGTTCGGCAACTGGTAATGCATTGCCCTCGCTCGTATATCTTTCCGATACAACATGAGGCAATTTGACTTCTTCTTTTCGGCCGGACCCATTGGATGAATTCGTCAGACATCTTCTATCACTTCTTCAACCAGCTGACCTTCATCTATAACTTCAGCGATCATACGCAATTAGAGCAATTGGCTGCTCGCATCCAGACTGCGTTCTGGCATGGGGGTGGACATTATGACTGCCAATAAACATCAAACGTAGAACGAAGCGGTTAGTTTAATGACTTTTTAACCTTATGTTGAACTAAGCCAAGACAATAAGTTTGCGATAGTTTGTTGACAATAAGCTCGGATAAGGTGTTGGGGATTGGTGGAGAGAAACAAACAGAAACATAATAGTATGTCATTCACTGTGTAATTTATACATACCAAAGTCTTTGTGCATTCATAAACAACCTCGTCTTCATACCAGCAGTTGAATAGCTAGCTATTCATACTCTTTGAAAACAGCTATTAGAAGCTGTCGCCCTATAAAGAGTGCGCAGTAGCCCAGTCTAGTTCGAACAACAGCAGCACCGAGAATTAAGGGGCTGAAGAATATATACTCACCTTGTATTTTGTCATACTAACAGGTTGCACGCCACAGGTAGAAGATGACGTATTTAAGGTACATTTTACGCGTAGATCACTTAAAATTACAACTTTGGGAAGATTCTATTTATAAAACCGAAGCAGAAAATCTGGTTAATTGCTTTCTTTGTAAAAAAACATTGCCAAAACGTCAATAAAAATGATGAAGCGATGATTTTCTGTTATCCGTGATGGAAATGGACCGAAAGCAAATTGTACGAGACAATACATATCCGCAAGTCGATTGCCACAGTCAGTTGAGCGTCTCGCGAAGGATATAGAAAATTGCAAACGATAACATGACCTTACTTGAATGGTACGTATTGCGATAGGCGGATATTGTCCGCAATGACAAGTAAAATGCTCTGCCATCTAATAGGAAGTGTAGCAGTGATGAAAATTTGCGGTTTTCTGTTCCAGACAAAGGCTGATTTTTGCTGGTTCTTTCTAAAGTATCAAATTGATTTAGAATAAAAAGCCTTACAAAACTGTTGCTCCCATTTGTCAAGGTGATAATGTAGGCCAATGTGCTGGTTAAGATAAGAAGACGATAATTCTGGGGAATTCATAAATTGCAGTATTGGAATATAACACCAATATCGGAGAAAAGAAGGCGTTACATGCAGGAACGGTTAATGACGTTTGGGCGTTTTGCTCGAGAAATAGCTTTGCGATTTCTTTATGCTTATCCAATAGATTGGTCGAAGAAATGGTAAGGAAATATGTCCTGATACTAGGAATAAATCGATTAGACGCGTGATTACCTTCTTACTTTTTTGCAATAATATTACAAATTCCGTGGAATCGAAAACGCTATGGATAGGCTGTTCGCTCCGAATAGGATTGTCATATTTACGCTTGCTTCTAAATTTCATATGAGGAACTTTTAGGTGGGATTGTTGATAATCGGCGAAACTATGGTGCCCGAAATACTTAAGAAATGTAGGAAATTACAATAAGGTTGCATACGATTAGGATGGTGATTCCATCATCGAATGTATGCAGTTGAATACAGTTGTTGGTATGGGTATAGGAAAAGAAAGATCGGATGATATGATCCGTATAATTTGAATTGACAAATAATAATAAACCTGAGAGAAACGAAGTATAAGCGCGATAGACATACGAGAATCATCGTTCAATGTTGGAATCAAACACTTCGCATAAATGCTTATATTGGAGTACAGATCACACAATGATTAACGAGAGAATTAATCTTGGAACGGGTCAGACATGATGAACTTGGGAGTTTGTGATGGTTTTCCCAGGAAGGGCCAGTTTTTCTGGCAATTGTCAAATGCGGCAATCGGCTACTTGCTTGAAATCCTAAGAATCAGATAAAGCTGTCTACATCGCCTAACGTTTATGGAAAACTACGGCAATAATTAATCCGCCGTTGTCCTCAAACGTACGAATAAAATCTACGTAGAGCAATGAGCTTAGACAAATAGATATATATGATGTGTCTTGTCGTATATTGCGCATTGGTTACCTGGTCCAACACAAGTCAACAAGTGTCCTGTTTCTATTGTTTTTACAAAATTTCCGTGGTCGATGATAAATTACAAACTACTTGATTTCATAATAATTATATAATTATAATTAGTGCGCTAGAACGAGACTGATGAGAAGAGGATTGGAGAATAACAAAAGGACAATTATATACCAGCGATTATTTCACAAAGTGCATCCCTTGTATTTCTGAACCATGATACAGAGCGCAAGAACGCGTTACACGCGAGCAAGTTTGGAACATCTCGACAATCGACAAAAATCATACATTATAATAATAATAGCCAATCTCAATGTTACAAGTTTCTTCCCCTACAAAACACGTACATAACTAGTATGAACGATAGATGCACAAAAATCCGCTGAAATCTTACTTTCTTGTATTCGTGTCTGGCACATATATATGAGGTTGTCTTGAAAAGTAATATGGCTGGACAGTTCGTATCTGCAATTGCCCACGAATTGGAAATGATACACGCGTTAATAAGTGAAAATTGAAAACTAACAGTCGACTTGTTAAACTCACGTATCACTGTCCAAGCTTAGGTGACCATATTTCACCTCTGAAACGTATCACTATTATCGGCAGCTTGATAAATAGAAACTTGCAGGGAGGTAGGTGTTGAAAATGTCTTCGCATCAACCGGAACCGTTCCCACCCCCGATTTTTGGGATTATCATAAACGAGTATCTAAAGTCCAGAAATCATATGAGTCAATGATTGATACTAGTAATAAGCCGCCACTTTATTACTTACCCGTTGGGTATCTATTTTTTTGGGCGAAACCAGATTCCCACGTTTCCCACGTTTCCCACTGCAAACACTTGTTAACTGTCCATGCAGACAATCGAATGCCGGGATCCACAGTTTCCCGACAGTGTGGTGGCATGTGAACACTCTTTAGAACGGAAGCCCTGTGCGTGGTTATCCGTTCTCGTACATTAGGTCGACCGATCGCTCCAGTTGATTAAGCATAAAATAATGTCATCGATACATTCCTTGCTGTTGTAGATTAACCATATTTATCCGTTTGTCACATGAAAAAAATCAACAGCATTCTCACTTGTAATTTTATTCGATTTATTGTTTCTTAATATTAAATTCGTCTCAGAATTACTGAATATGACAACACACACGGTGTCTGTCTTTCAGCAGTCTACATTACAAATTCACTTTCAGCGTCCTAATGCAAACTACATGATTTTCTTATTCTCAATTCTTTCTCTTCCGAACATTCCGTTCGGCTCAAGTCATCAATTTCCTAATCTTTACATATCCGGAGCCTTTCTGCACTCGAAAAGAAAAACGGATTATAAAAGTAATTATTCGCAATTCCATGTACTTTGTTTCATAGAAATAGTCTTTGAATGAACGTGGAGTTATATACAGTATGTGTGACGCGCCGCGGATGTGTGTAGCGTCGTTGTATGTGGCAATAGTAGTGCCGTTATATAAAGTCGTCGTATGTGGCAGCAAGCATCGTTGTATGTGGCAGTGGTGTCCGTTGTGCCTGTCGTTGTCGTGCGTGACAAGCAATTGCGTATTGTGAGTTGCTAATATTATTTGAACAGAGGATAGTAAATATCTGATGATGTCTGCTCGCCGACAAACCAATGACACGTAGTAAAGCTCATACTCACTGAACTCATTATCATAACCTTCCCATTAATATGACTATTTCTTACGTCAAAACGTTAATATGACAAACTTTTTTTGGCTGGAATAATATCACATTAACTGGTAAAATTACCAACCAGCATCTTCTCCAGCTCTACGTTAGTGCCAAGGCCGCTTATTTTCGGTGAGGAGTGAAGGGCATCGAACTACACAATTCTATTACAATCATCAAAGAGTAAAAATTTTTTGCCTCAAACGACACGTGAATTGAGAAAACAAAATTCGGTAATTATAATAACGGATAATCATGTGATCCAATAGTAATATATTTTAATGTAATCGTATCAATTGATAATGAATAAGATAGAAATAGTCAAAGATTACGTTGATAAAGAATCCCTGTTGTAGACATGACCGCTTCTATTCCAACTTTCATCCTGCTATGACACGACATGTCGACCATGCGAATAAAATCGATTATCTCACTCGACTCCACCTGCGCATGTAAAAAACACGGAAATTAAGTAGATAATGAAAAAAGGTAGAATATCAGAGAGAAATATATAAAGCTAGATATTGATGTAGATATTATTTCCAAGACGCACTTCTGCGTGACATGCTTAATCGAAGCGATGTTATCGATGTATCAGTAATCCCACTGTGGTCACATTATGTAAGCTATCACTAAACGGTTCGGTCAGATATGATGCTGCGGCACTCCATTCACTTTATCAAGATTAGCATATTATATGCAATTGAAAAAAAATCGTATCACATTATTACATTTGAAATGTCTTCATATTAATATAGACTTTATCCATGTTTAACTTGACAACCTCACACGAAATGCATCTTTCTGCAGTCGATCATGAGTCGGTGTTGTCCGTAGCCAATAGAAAATTCAAAAAAAGAAAGAGACGGGGCGTAAAACACTTGATTGTCAGGTGCGACTTACCATTTAAAGACAGTTACATTCTATTTCAGTTGGAGTTAGTTACGGGTATATTACCAGTATATTTAGACAGTCAGAGTTTGAGAGCCACATTACCGCATAGGGTTCTGCGAATAGTCAGGTGTTCACGCATATAAAGCGAGACAAAGAAACACAATTTACTATAACCGTATAGTGGCTTCTGTTAGATTAGATTGCCGTGATAAACAAAAATTCTTGCTGTCAAGAGTCTATTTTAATTTGTTGAGAAACCCGTTAATTACGATTCACACACTGCCGTCTTCGTCACCAAAATGATACAAGACAAAAATGATAGAAAGAAAGAAGCCGTATATTAATTCTTTAATGGGTATTATTAGCGCACGTATCCCTGGGAAGGGGTATTGTTTAGTTGACAGACCTGCTATCGAACGAACGCACAAAGAAAACAAGAACAATTATTTTACAGGGCGTCTGCAATATAATTCGTTGAACAGAGTATCGATGCATTCACTTTTATCATGACTAAATCATTTAAAGCTATACAAACTTGGTCTTACATGCACCTATTGCTATAGCGATTGGTCAACGCTATTCGATCAACACGGTGAGAAAATTCAACTATCGAATTAAATGACAAGAATGCAGTATCACATCAGTTGCAGGCATTGTTTCAGGTGGGACTGAGTTACCCAATTTGGGGAAGACAGCGAAGAAGAATTGAATGGAAACTTGACTATCACGACTCAGTAGAATACCCGAATACACCGTAGCCAATAGTATTCTGCTGAGTTAATCTATCGTGTAAACAGAGGATGACTGCTTCCGTAAACACAATGGGAGATTATTAACCCATTGTAAATAATCTTATAAGAGAGTGTAGTTAACAGCCACACTTGTCAACTCACCAAGTTATTTCGCATATGCGCTTCTCTCTTGCCTCTAAAATTTTACAAAAAATTAACTCGTTAGACTATTTGCTTTTGCTTTTATCATAAAGACCAATATCTCCGCTCTCCTGCTCTCTTCAACATCTCTACTCTCTTCAACATCTCTACTCTCTTCAGCACTTCTGCTCTCTTCAACATCTCTGGTCTTTTCAACATCTCTGGTCTTTTCAACATCTCTGGTCTCTTCTACATCTCGGGTCTCTTCTACATCTCGGGTCTCTTCAACATCTCGGGTCTCTTCAGCATCTCGGGTCTCTTCAACATCTCTGTTCTAGATGATGACTATTCTACAATTTGACCCTCTAAACTTTGTTATAAATATAAAAAGTCATATTCATCTAGACTATTTGTCTCCGCTTTGGTGTAAATCACCATATTCTTTATATGGGTCTCCCAACAGAATAGAGAAAGCGGTAAGAATTATTTATGACTTGTGTCTGAAGTTTGTTACAGCCGTAACTAACCCAAGTTAAAAATTAATTAGGTTTTGCGAAAACAAAGACGTTTTTCGGAAGTTTACCGACGTCGGTGAAAGCACCGGAACATTTTCAGATAGATGTTTGGGAATAATTTTGGAAGAGCCGGGTCAACGACATTCAACGGCTTCCATTTATTATGGACGAAAAAAAAGCGTTGGCAGGGCAACATAGATAACTTTTATTTATTAATTCTATCATGTACTAATTAGTATTAGTATCGGTTATTTTGTGTATAATTACCTCAGGAGGAAAAAAACTTCTGATATCATTTATCAGCATTAATTTATGTATGGTTACTCTTTAAAAAAGTCATTATGTATTAGAATGTTATGTACATAGTTATTTAAATTCCTGTTTTCCCCCAAAAGAAAGAATTTGATATAATTCTACTAGTTAAAAGGGATTGCCTTCCCAAGTGTATACATACAATCCAGAAAATAAATCGCTTTATGTATTAATTTTTTATAATGTATCGATTTACTTCAGATATAAGTGTATTGGTCTATGACAATTTGCTTACCATGTATCAATATATTAATACAATAGACATCGATCGTTTAATCCAAAAACGCAAAGTGATAATCTTGCTACAAACCACATAACCACGAAGCTGGTTATGTCATTATCTGATAATCACATATTAGACACTCGTAGTCTATACCATCACATATGCAACGAATCTAAATAATTTATTGCGCCTCAACCCGTGGATACGTTTCCATAAAATAGAAATTCAGTTCATACCACTTGTAAGCCGGAAAACTGCCACATGTTCTACTACTGAATTTTGAGGCGACGAATATTACCATCATAGAGTGAATTGTAGATAGTAATAACGATTGTAATCAAAATGTTGTAATCCATCATAGTGCAGCTGCATGCATAAAATCTTCCCATGGGGCCCAGGTCATTGTATGCGGCATGGTAACACCATCGAGTCGGGGAAAAGTAAGGGAAAATGTGTATACTAATAATAAAGAATGAAAAAGTTGGTAGCTTCTCAAACCCATCCATCCGCAACAGTACCTATACCTTTTGCAAACAAGCCTCATCTCGTATAGCTAATACTCTTTAGTATTTTTTGAGTTTATCACGAAATGACTCATCTTCTTATCAGTGTTTCACAGATGGGATGATTAATATGTTTTATTCCGATGACGCTACTCTTTGTCTGTTTTTGGACTTTAATTTTTATCCAATTACCGTAACTTCTCGGGCTGTCAAATCTTTTCTCCCCTGAAATGACCAAGTGTCTTACCGCATTTGTAGAATGTGGCAAAATATTTTATGCAGATTACCCAAAGCAGGTGTGTAGTTTACCATCTATCGCAGCGCTACTCTTCACAAGGTGCAACTGAGGGCTAAGGTAGATTCATCTTCTGTATAGAACCTTTAATCTTATCATAGTCAATTATGCCACTGATAGCATAAACGTTACTTGCCAATGCTCCAGAGTCATACTAAGGATAGGTGCTGCCAGCCTTCGACATGGATTGCGATTGCACAGAGTAATAAACAATTTCAGACTACAGTTTAATCAGAACAAACTTTACCTAGTAACAAAGTAGTAGGTCCGCAGAAGCATTTGCAACTAGACTTCACAAGTATAAGTCAATAATCCTACGTTGACACATCAAATGTGATCTCTGATAGTAACTAACGTTTTACTTTATAACATGTAGAAACTGCCGAACGGTGAAGAGACTGTGAAGAGACCACGTACAATATAAGACGCGGTTTATCGGTTTATGAAAGATCCCCAATGTGTTCGAATCCTGCAGCCACAAACCAGTATCGAGGAACAAACTTTCCAATTTACCGTACATAATATAATCAAAAGTGCTTCGCGCATCTTTCAACTTTACTGGTGACGTGTATTATCGGATGGAATCTTATTAATATTGGTTTATTGTAGTATTATAGGATGAGCTGATACAAGCCTTTGGAGAACAAAGTCAAAATCTGCTCTTTCGAAAGTCGTATCCCTTAGCTTTTTGAGGAGATCTTACGGAACACCAAGAAAACCACCTGGGAAGAGGACAACCTGACCCCGATTGTAATGGGAGCCTTCATTGCACTATGATAAACTCGAACTAACGATAATGACTTCTTGCTCCCCGTTTAGAATTCGACCCGTCAATTATAGAAAAACGCAGAAATTGATTTAACAAACGAAACAAAAAGGACTACTTCTACTATCTCTATTTTCTTCAGCCATCTCCGCTTCAAATAAAAAAATAAACGTCATCACTTCTATCCCAACGAGTTTAAACGCGACGCATTGTTGACATTGCTGTTTTCCCGTTCGATCGTCCTAATGAAAGAACTCCCATCATAAACATACCCACTTCATTTACACATCATCCGCTTAGGCTACGATATGTTGACCATGTGCTTTTCGTATTACATCGCTTCTCTTCCATAAACTTTCTTATTAGAATGCCTTATTCTAACATTCCTATCATTCATCCTTGTTATGATGAATCTTAACACGACAGCGTGTTCGATCTACGAAAGAAAGTCAATTGTCCCACCGAACATTGCACGTACGCGTCTTTTCGGCATACATGTGCCGGCCACCAATCTACTCTCTTTTCATTTCACCATCGCCCTATCGGTCATACTTCCTACTCTTTCTGGCGGTTTGCGGGCATTGGTCTTATAGCTGTAAGCAGGAGCTTGCTGCTAAACAAATCAACAAAGTTTCCAATACAACTAATGGACGTATTCGTCAACTGGTGTAGTCACTTGAAGAGTTAAAAAAACTCCAACATTTAGTGGACTTAATCTGTGTGATCGGTGACCGTGTAAAGTATCCTCCAATTCATATAATACAGTACTGTTCGGATGTGTTATCTCTCATCAATCTGAGTGATGTGATAGGTTGTTAGTAACAGTTTAAGTAAAATAAAGCTGGGCACTTACGATCTTGCTTTCTCCTTGTATATAGGTAGGCCAAAAATGATTAATATTGAGTTTTACACTTACCAGCAGAGGGTGGCCTGAAGATTAGAACCGTTCTATTTTCTCCATCTTGGTTCGCCTGGTTTGGAACATTTTTCAATGATAATCAAATCTTACTTTATCAAACCCTTTCTCTGATCTGCTTAGTCGAATCTCGTTCGCGTAGTGTGACTGTGACCCTCATTCGTTGATTGAGTGCCGATGACCGATGGAGTTTCAAGAGTCATCTACCTTGATCGGAATGCTTTAATTTTCGCACATGGGACGCTGTTATTAACAGCACGACTTAAACGTTACAGATGTCACGAACCAATGGGGCGAGTGACGCGTTATTACTAAGTGGAACTAGCAAGGTGCTACGCGTGGTGGGAAAGATAAAAATATAGAGCTAAAATTAATTCACGTTATAACAAAAATAGGTATTATGATTTCCACTCTCTATTCGTCTCCCTCACATCAATCATTAGTCAATTCAGCACGTACCATAAGCGGGTAAAGTTTATCAAGAGGTCTACAATGCTTATGTTCTTTACTATGTTCTGTAAACATCTGACGCTCAATAGTCAAGAAATCTGAACCAACTTCACATGAATTCCTTTGGGAATTTACTGAATGCGAATTAGAGATTATCGACACATATTCTTACATTACACACAAACAGAATCATGTAGTTCATTTCGAAATACATACCCTCCGTTACTTGCGATATCGCGCCTCACTCAGTACTAACAAGTAGGTCTCTAACATTCCGTCTAAACCTCGAGCCAGATATCTTCTTGGTGATGTGCAGTACAGACTTTCATCAATTATAAGTTCAGGTAAAAATTTCATTCACAACGAGTTTTTCACCGTTCGATTAGCATGCACACAGTCAGACTCTATCGGCACATCCAACACATTCGATAATATGAGATTATCGGAACACAAATATAAAGGGTTGATACGAACATACTACTTTGGATCTAGTGTCTCGACAATCGCATGCATTATGAACCATTATTTGACTGAATCGAAGTCTTTGAGAATTGGTAATAATCCTTATTCAATGGGTCGACAAAGCGTGTCAATCTCGGTCATGACAAATTCTCTAGCATGGATTTCATCACGTCATGGGCAACGCCATTCAAACGCGTTTGGAATACGTACACACGAAGTAGTCCGACGGCGAGCTTATTTATTCCGGATGCAAATAGCATCTTATCGTTATTGAATTCGACCTTGTGCGGTTTCGGAACGGAGATAACTATTAATTAAGTGAACGTATTATTATTGGATAAACGTCAGTCTCAGTAAGGGCTGGCTTTTACGATAAACAGTTAGTCTCACACATCAGATTAAATCGAATAAGATCCGTAAAATCACCATTAAGTCTCTGGAGTCTTGATACCAAGCTTAATTCACCTCATATCATGCTAGAGCCTTCGTCGTCATTCTCACAACCGGCATGCAGCAAGATCGACATAAAAGCCACATGTGTGCGTTAGAAAATTGTCCGTACTACGCTTAATCAAAAATATGAGCCTCAAAATTTCCTGGCCGAGTTTTTGGAAAACTATCTTCTTGAAGAGACGAGAAATCAATAGGATGGAATTTGACTGCCATCTACGTGACATAGCTCTGCATCTTTAATACATCGTACCAACGACATAGTCAGCAAGACGTAATGAGAACTATAGTTCACATGCAGAAAGTGGACGTCAGCATCTTAGACGAAACTAGCTAGTGATGATGGAATATCTAAAATTTGCAACAGAACGGCAATCTAGAATCCAACCAGCATCTTACGAATTATTAAAAACCCCAAACTAAATAACAGTATACTCATTTACGATATGACGGATATCGCGTTTATCTATGTATATGATCTTATATGGAGTTGATATAACAGTATATGATAGTTGAATAATACGAATTTCTCATCCGTTACAGTTTAATCATTTACGTTTTATACGGATTTCCATCGTCGTTAAAATGGTATGAACGTCTTTGTCTCACTGCGAGTCAACGTATGCTTATCTATATATCACATTGGACGAGACTGGATAATCTATTCACTCATTACAACTATATCTTGTTCAACTAGCACCGCAGCGCGGGTTTCTTACGTTGGCCACGTAAAATATGATCAAAACGCTATTATTATCTCAAAATATACTTCTCAACAACTGCTTTTCAAAAACGCAGTTATTACTTTTCAAACTATTTCGAATCTCCTCGAAACCGCATACACAATTTTTATCCACAACGAATCCCAAGGAAAAGCGCGCAACGGTTCAAGGAGCAAGGGCATCAACTTCCTTAATCAGAAGATATTTCGGGGCTAAATACAAGAACGAAGAAGGGGTTTACAGCGTTTGGAAATGACAACGAGAATGAAGAGAAAAAAAAAACTCGGACGTCTACCATGAAAATGGACGAAGTTGTCTTATGACAAGTAAGTTTGGAACCGCCTCCTAAGCAAGATGGAGAAATAGACGATGGCCTTATCCTCACCACAATATTGAAGGAAGTGATGGGCCCGCGTGGATTAATGGAAAGCAGGGATAGTTTTCAGTTCGATGACGCGATATTTTGTGACCAATTTTCGAAAATATACTTATATAGACATTTTATTGGAACGTTTTCTTCACGATTGTATAATAATTGCTGACCCGAATAAAAGTATTAATATTTCTTCTGTTGTATGACTGACGCTCTGTGATGGTCCAATATTTCTACAAAGTTTTCTAAAATAGAGCTTGTTGGCCAGATGAACATGGCGTTCTTATTACTGATAGTTATATATTCTGATTGTTCAGATATCTCTTCTCCAGATGTAACGACAGGAATGTCATAGATAATACGAATAAGATATTCCTATCAACCGGAGTTGTCTCCCCAATCTTTGGATAAGTTGCGTAAATTGTAGGATTATCACAAGTAAATTATATAAGTCAGTCATTGATAGCACAAATAAGTCATCCGTTACCATTGCTTACTGTCGGCATCAATTTCGTATATCAGTCGAACTCGGTTTACAAGTATACCGGTATCCGAGACTTTTGTTTGATTCGTTGACTCATTTGTATCTGTATCAAGGCGTGACACGTAGCTGCCCATTTAGAACTAATCGGGGGGCCATCATCAATAGCGTTTTTGATAAAAAGAGTGCCTGTTGTTCGCGCACTACGGTATCATCATAAATACCATAATAAATTTCCCTTGCTTCGAAGCTGTTTAGTCGATATATATGATTGATATGGTCATACAATCCAATTATTAGCAGAATAGTCATACCGTAGTTTGACCGCGTACGAAACAACGACTCAGTATATGTATGCATAGCAATAATTCCTAGCCTCGTTGACTACAAGAATGAGAATATTTATTCGTTTCTAAAACAGTATTTGCAACGTCAAATATCTAGAAAGGATCGAATAATTTTTTCTCAACCCTTCATAAGCTCCATGAACAGAAAATTGTATAGAAATATGGCAGAATTAAACTCAGGCCAAGGATTTGATAATAAACGCAAAGACAGTTCCATTTTGATAACGTTACAAACAAATATTCGTGGTTCAAAACATGTATGATTTCCTCGTTTAAGTAACGCTATGTCATGATTTCCACGCGTTGTTGAGCAAGTTCTTTCGAGTACGAGGGATTATGAAGTATGTTAATATACGCAAAAATCCTTGCGCGTTTCTGGGCTTGTTGGGGGAGATCTTTAGTACCGAAATTTGAATATTTTGATATAGCATTTGTATCATTGTTACTTAATCAGTCAAACACATTAATATATATTTATTTAACGCAAATACTTACCAATAAGCGAAGCGACAGCTTTGAACTTATCTGTTCTTTCAGTTCAGTGAAGACAGCGGAGATTTGAATAGTGGACACTATCATGTCCATCATCGGTCGTTGTCAGGGACGTGAATATTCAAACCAGGGGTAGCAAATATTAAACTCGCTGTTAATATTCCTCCACTCTCTAATCTTTGCAATTACTAACAAGCATATTACTAATATTATATTTTATGCCATTTTCAGAACACCATTTCCTGTCGCATTAGTGTTAGCATATTAATCCTGATGGTCTATCTAGAAAGAGAAAATAACAACGACATAAAATAATCGAATAGTTGGTATAACATTAATTTTTGATATGAGTGGATAGTATATCTCTACATAGTACTACAAAAATGTGTCCAGTTAACACCCTATTTACCAACAAAACTGTATTGCAAATTATTCGATAAACTCTCATTTATCAATTGTAGCAGTCAGTCACACTTTCCATTAGAATCGGTCGAAAGTCGAATATGTGTGAATTGATAAACACAGATGTGGCACATTAGAATTGATAAATGTGGTAAATTACTTTAATGAAAACCAGTAATAAATAACATTTCCAGATAAGAAAAGTAATGGTCACTGTTTAGTACAGTTTATCTTAAAAAGTGATAATCATATTTTAAACTAACCAAAGAAAATTTAAGGTATCACTTCTTGTTAACGTCATAATTTGTAATTTCCTATCACGATAGAGAAAAAAAACTAATTGTTTCCAACAAAGATAAAAGGTAACTTGTCTTATCGTAAATAAGTATAATATTTTAATTCCATCCTAAATATTCTCTAGCTAACTCGTGGCCTTGACTGGCCGCTGCTTGCAACAATTCAACCATTTTTAAATAATCTAACTCTACCCCAACACCGTCTTTATAACAATTGGCGAGACTATATTGTCCTTCTGAATTTCCTTGTACAGCAGACCTTTCGTACCATAGAAAGGCCTGCCGACCATCCTTCTCGACTCCAATACCGTATTTATAGCAGTCGCCAAGATAACAGTATGCGTACGTATCTCCCCGACAAGCGGCTTGTTCGTACAGTCTAATCGCGAGAGAGTAGTTTACTTCGGTACCGATACCGTGCTGGTAGAACATACCTAGCGTGCATTGCGCATCCGTTACCCCTTCTGCCACCGCTGCTCGACATAGTTCGAATGCTTCGCTATAATTTTGTTCAACTACCGTACCGGAATAATAAAATAAAGCGAGTCTATACTGAGCATATGGATGACCTAAGTAAGCTGCTTGTTTATATGCCAATACAGCGCGCCGGTGACACTCTTGTAGACCGTGTTCGTCTTCGTAGCGCCGTGCAAGTTCAAATAATGAGACAGCTACTCCGCGTCGGGCAGCCTCTGAGTAAAATTCGATGGCTTGGTCTCCATCTCTTTCGGTTCCGATTCCCTCTTCATAACAATGGCCAAGCACGTAGTATGGCGGATATTGTTGTTCTGCGGCTTGTGTATAATATTCAAATGCTCTTGAATAATCTTTACTTGTACCAATACCGAATTGATAACACCAGCCGACTCTGTACTGCGATTCTATTATACCATTATCTGCAGCTCTACAATAAAACATGAATGCTACTGCATTATCTTGTTGTACGCCAATGCAAAACCGGTATGTATCGCCTAGGTGATGCTGTGCCGGTGGATATCCGCTGTGAGCGTCTTGGTGTAGTATTCTCATAGTCTCGTCGTAGAATCCACTATCTTGGTATTGTATAGCCATGTTAAATATTACTGACTGCGTAAATTGTGCCATAATGTATGTCTTTTATTATTGGGTTAAAATATGAGGGCGAAGAATTTTGAGTGTTGTGAATAGAAAGATAGTAGCTTGTCAAATTTGCTTATGGAATTTGCGTGTTTGTTGTTAGGGAAAAGAACGCATATTTAAGAGTTTTTTTAGTCGTCGCGGATTCCCTGAGAATCGCATTGTGCTCGAATGGAGTACACTTCTGTCCCTCAAAGAAACAGAGAAGCTTCCCATTGATTGGCAAATGCTTAAGTTCATACGTGGGCCAATATAAGTGACAGAGCATTGTATAACGAGACATTGTAGCTTAACTTGTTTAGGCTGATTGCCTTATTAGAGCGTGAGATTGGGTAATTGCATGCCCTTGACAATAGATATTGTTCTGATTGATGTTCGCTGCGGCTACAGTGACTGTGTGTTAAATGTAGCTTTTTATCAATGTGATTTCTTATCAACAGACTTGTGGATGGACAAAACATCACAGAAACACTTTATATGATGTGTTTGGAATACATCCTCTTAAGTGTAAATTTGAATAATTTTTATCAGTAGTTATGACAGTACTTCACAAGGCAACCAAAACTTGTTTGTGTGGCTAAAGTGCATTAGAGCGTAGCAATTGCATGTGTCATTGACAATAAAATACTATATCTGAAACTTGCAGGTGTCCGGTCTTTTTATTCTGATTATCTTTAATTGTCCCATCATAAACATCGGACCCCATCGCTGCACTTCATGTTGAATGGTGTGACGTTCAAACATTACATTATATCGGACAGTTTTAATAAAAACCTGCCTCCGAAGAACTCACTCATCCATTAGTATAAGTTGTATGTGTTTACAGAACTGACGTTAATCATACGCAAGTTTAAAGATATCTGAATAATGCAGTAGTATCATGCGGATATCTAGAAACCTTGTATTTATTTTGGTAAAGTGCGATTACACACAACATAACCATTAAGTCCGATAATCGGGTGACAAATCCGAGAACACTATAAACTCCGAAGAAATATAACATTTGGTATAGCAATCGGAGCTGTTTTTATACTAGAAATGGAAATATATTGGTGTGTTGCGAGTTGAACAAATCAAATCAATAGTTCATTTTTCAATTGTTTGTTGATTTACTATATAAGTATTAGGTATAATTATTTTATATACTTTCTTAATTTATAATCACTTCATATTCACACTATTATTTTGTTCATAGCCACACATTCGAATGAGTGCATGCAAGCCCCTGTCGTTATTGTGTCATATTCAGTCTTTTGGTAGTAGCTAACAGAAAATCAAGATCAGGTATAAGATAGAACTATAATATATCCCAGTAGATATAGATAGGTGACATATTAACCTTTAAGCTATATTGTATAACATAATAATTGGAATCGGAAAAGAAAGCATGTCTATATGTAGCCTTTTCTTGTTCTCGACTGTCATAATATACACATATTTTTTTATTCTTAGATTTCATTCGAGTAAAAAACATGGTTTCTGGGAGTTTGTATCATTAACACTATCCGAACCCACAGCTAGGATCACCGCCACAATCCGCAGATCGAAAGTGAACCAACGTCTGGAATTTAGACAGATCAGCTGTATGTAAGATCACTACATGAATCTAGTAGTCTGAAGTCGCTCTCCCGACATCAATAGTTTCAGATAAGCAATGCTGGGTATTAACGTGAGCTGAACATTGTCGTTAACTAGTTGTATTTTCATTGACCGTTAAAGATTAAATGGCGTAATTATCCCCACTTGCATTGGGCCAAAAGGTGTGACTATAGACTCAACCTATCAAGTGCTCACACGAATAGTTTATGCAGATAAGACCGGACTTTCCAACTTTCCTAATTAATCTGCCCTTAATATTAATGATGTGCAACCGTGTAGCCTGCTGCGCACTTATTAATGTTGCACGTGTACAACGAATTGGCAAATGCATTGAAAAAACACAAACTTGAACGTCATATTTACAGAGTCGCAGTTACACTTTGTGTTGTAATAGAAGAAACTTTAGTAGAAACATGAATGCTGGAGAAGTGATTGTGAAAGGAATGAACAGTACGTGATTGAGTTAAGACTTATTTATCAAACCACTTACGTCTTCGCCGGTTTAACCATGTCGGTGGGTAATAATAACTAATTTGTTAGATTCCCCGCATAAAATTGCTAGGAAGTTATTAATAAATTGTCACTGCTGAGATGTTGGGTTATGTCCGTACTATCCTTTACACTAGTACTCAAGTCACATGATTGTAAGTTTAAATGTACAGATATTATTATTATCGATCAACCGCTGGCAAAGCCGATAAACATTATAAGTTAACGTCGTTGTAACTGTTGCTCATAACCGGCTCTTATTAAAAATGCCAACCCTGACCATAGTATGTTTTTATATGTTAGGGGGAAAAGACTATAGAGTCGACTGTATTAGCATTCCGTTTATGGGCTATTCATAGTTTACCCTCACAAGCGTAACAAGCAGAGCAATATCATCAAGTTTTCTATAAATAAAAAGCCTATCAGACATAAAACTCTTTCCTCAAAACATAAATATTATCATAACTTACCCTCCCCACCGAGGCACGTTATTCCGAGCTCTATACCGTTTCGCATATGGAGTGTCTCTCGTAGAAGACATGGAATATTCCCTGGCAGCACGTGTAAGCCTCATAGCTAGCTTTCTGTAAGCTGTTCCAAGTCAATATTTCGGGTGTATCCGTCATTAATTGAAAGTTCTTCGTTCACAATAAAAACTATTTCATCCATGAATACACTGTCATACAATCCATCCGTTGTCAATAATATTATATCCCCATCTTGTAACTGGTGCGTTGACTGATCAGCATCATTAGCAGAGTCGGTGAAAGCGCTTTCTTTGTAGTAACGTCTAGACATTATTGCAAGTTGATAAGGAGCATTGAAACAATGTTGCTGCGACGCAGACCGATAATAAACGCGACCATGAGAAATGCTAAATCACCCCAAAACAGCCGCATTGAGGATTACAATAGTTCCTTGCTTTTCTTTTTTCCCTCGATTTACACTCCTGCCAAAAGTATTTGGCACTCTGTGATCGACAAATAAATTGTGTCCTGTAGCCTACATTCAAATTGAGATATCTCGTCATACATCTAACTTAACTTCAACCCAGATACTGCTGGACGTGTACTTTATAATCATAACTCTTTTGGCCATATTTGGAAGAAAAAACCCTTTGTTTCTGAAAACAACAGAATAAAATTTTTGAGATGGTGTCATCGGATACAAACATAAATTCGCCTTCATCACAAGCTACATTATCAGACTCTATCGACTTTGTCCGTTTATATAATAAAATTATTAATGCCGAAATCAAAATGTCAACACAAGCCGAAATGTAATAAGAGCTTACTTTTAATTTTGATAGATCGTTTAAATTACTATAAAAATCCAATCGAGAACGCGCATCGCTTATCCTAGTCCATAAAGCGGTTAGAGAACAACTCTCTAAAAATATTAGTGATATGACGCATTATAAAAAAAGAGAAAGAGCGAGGAAGATGTACGAGCTTTTTGAAAACATAGGTGTATCTACAATATCGATTATATTATTGTAGCGTGTACTACATCCGATTCACGTGATCTAACCTCTGCCACAGAAAAAGTAGGACAGAAAATGCGGTAGTTAGTTCAAAACCCCCAACCTTAATCAATCACTTCATAAACGCATCGCACAAACCCAATATTTTACGCCATCTACCATTATAGAAAAATATGTCTTCGCCCTCCTCACCCGTTTCTCCATCCTCTACTTTGAAGTCAACTCGCACGACGGCGCATCAATCGCAATTGCACGAAGGTTAACAGATAAAGAAATCAACATTGAATTGCAGAAATATGCTTTGGCCAAAAAAATAGTGAATAGATAGTTTTCCGCTTCGCATGTATTAATAAAGAAAAGTGATCGGACAATTTGTCACGCATAAATCTGAAATAGATTTATTGTTGTATTCTTAGAAGAGTAATTGGCGTAAAAATTCACATACGCATGATTTTATTTCAAACATCAAATAATGAAATACAACGCGTAATGGAACTGTATTTTTGTATACTGTGTACATTAAAAGAAATCTGACTTTATTGTACTACGATCAAATAATATTTTATTTTAGGGGGAGCGATTGACATTTAATTCCGCTTTGTTTTGTAAAGCGATTTGCCGTCTTTTCCCTTTCGTGTTGTTCGAAAATAACTTCTTTACGCTTCTCTCAGTATCAAGTAGCTTTCTCTGCATTCAAAAATACGTTAGTATTGTGATGTTTTATATTTTTGGTATTTATCTATTAACATACTTGGAGTAATTTTAGAATGCAATATGCATCTTACAATATATCACAATCATCAATATCGGCAGGTATCCTGCATCGATCTATCAGACCGAATCTATATACACCAGATCCTATCCAATCCATAGCGTAGAAATTTAATTCTAACCCTAAAAATAGCTTCCATTAGCAAGAGTATCATTAAATTTTCTTCTCATATTAAACCTACCAAACTGAAGCCAGCCGAAAACTATAATTTCTAATCATTTTTCGTTCGATACGTGATCACATTTTTTTAATAGATTATTTATACTATCCCGCATTGTTACCATCAATTTCACTTTATCTAAGAACCGTTTCTTGCGACAAGCTGAGGGAATTCCAAATTGTCCTAGCCCACCTGAAACTTCCCCAAAAAGAGCTTCAAATTTATTTGATGTTTTTAGCAACGTTACTTTCATGTCAACCTTTCTACCCATTCGTGCTTTTTTAAATGGATTCGTTTTTTCGTTACGAGCATTACTGCTTGAATGAACATGAATTTCCCCCCTATATTCAGAAGAACTGTTAACATTAAATATTCAACATCTTAATAAATATAAAAAAAAAAACGGCTTACCAAGAGTGTTGTATACGACCGGACGTGAATGTTCCGTGAAACAACGGATATGATAATATTATTTTCAAGTGTTCTTCGTCAACATTTCTTGAAGAAAATGCATATTATTTTTCCTGTAATGTAATACAAAGTCAGAGTGCGGCGCAGATAATCAAGTATATAATTCACAATTGATACATACAAAAATTGTACATTTGAATCAAAATGTTTTAGATCTTCATTTTCATCACTATTGTCGAGTTTTACACAGTTATTATCAAAGTAATCTTTGAGGTCAATTCGCATTTCCATTTTATATGGTCAGCAAAATCTTGGGATAATTACTGTAAATCGTTTTCTGTGATTTCTTTGCACTCATACATAATACAGACTTTCTCTGGTCAGATCAAGCACTCCCCAATATTCAGGGCTGTGAATTAATAAGATAAATGCATTAATATCAGGTTATAATTGTAAAAAGGATGCAATACATACATGTATACTCTGTGAATTTTAGGAATTTTGTTTTGATATTTTTGGAATTATGAACTTGCATTGTAAGCTAAGCCTTGGATACAGTAACTCAACATCAGAACCCTAACTTGCCAATGACTTCATCTCTTTCTGGAAGTCATGTTGACAGCCTTGCTTGGAGAAGGCAAAATTAATGAAAGAAGCATAGAATTGGCAGCTGGTGTGCTTGACCAGAATGTTCTCTTTGCAAATATCATTGTGTGGTGATGGATGGATGACAGTGCTGTTCGAATCACCAGATACTCCTGATTTCTGCATCTTCCAGGGGCCTACCAACAATATCTGTTGCAATGGTAAATAGTCCACCAGCAGTGTATCCAGCACCCTCGAACCTTGGAACACAATCTCCCTGCAGATTCTTCAAAGCATTATTATTATATTAATATATCTCAACCTCCTTTTCATAGTCTGGATGTTGCCACAAGTCACATATTTTCAATAAAACTTGTTCTCCATGCAGAATAGTCTTGAACACTGTCCCAGAATGTATATGTAGTACAGCCCATTCCAAAAATGTTGAGTACTTGAAGCTAAAAATTCCAAGGGCACATGCTCTTCTTTTCTGTTAGATAAATGACTTGGATGAGCCCATCACTCTGTTTCTCTTGCCTCCTTTGTTTCCCCAGCCTGCCATTGGCATCCTATGTCAGCTGCTTCTTCTGGCATCCTGACTGCTTGCTTTTCATCTTCATCCACCATCACTGTGTGAAGAATCATCACCATCATCATTATCATTATGAGACAGTGGTTGTGGTGATTGTGGTGCAGAATCACAGTCAGGCTTGTTGTGAGCCAGAAAGGTGAGATGGAAAAAGCATTGGAACAGCATTGGCTGTTGATTGTTGTATTGAATGGGGGGTGAGATGCAGAGCTCACCAGATTCTCATCTGTGCAGAAACCAGGTTTTATCATAAGTAGTGAGTGCTCCAAACTGGAGATGGTTGTGTGAAAGGTATCTGAAAACCTGCCTCAGTTGATTGTAAACACATATTTGAGAGGTGGTTCCATTTCAATGCTCAGTGAGATATGTCATTATCATCACAAGGTTGTCTGCAGATAAAGTCCACTTTGTTTTTACCTCAATAACACCTCGTTTGAATCTTTCTGTATGAAATCTGGTTCTCCTATGACACTCTCTAAAAGAGTGTGGTGACCAAATACTTCATGTGGTCTCAGCATATTATTGAGAAAATGAAACACATTTTCATAAAGTGCTTGCCATAGTCTCTTCATCAGGTATTGTTGAAATGCCAGATGTGAGTACTTCTGGGTGTCATCCCAGATGGCATTGTTTCGCCTAATAAAGGACACAAAACCCAGATGGCATTGTTTATGTCATATATAAATCCCATCAAAGTACCCATAAATCAAGATGGGTCCCTAAAAATTTTTGCATCTCAAGTACTGTATAGTAGTATATTAATATTAATACACTCGTACCCCGTTTATATCCCTACCCAGTTATATCCCACCCCCAGTTATATCCCCAAGTTTTGTAAAAACAAATGGTCTTCTAAGAACGAACATTCTTTTTTGTGCCAGTTATATCCCATCTCAGATATATTCCTATCCCCATAGAGTCATATGGCCGAATATAATAATCCCAACCCGTTTATATTCCCTTAAGTTACACTAATTGCTAAAACGGGGACATTTTAAAAGCGAAGCAGATCTCTCGCAATTCCATTGGTCAAATTTGTATGCAGCACTTGAAATTGATATTTCTTTTCTGAGCAATTTAATGAAAAAGGCGGAAAAAAAACGCATTGATAAATTAAAAACAAAGCAAACTGTTGATAATAACATTATGTGTATATACTCGAATAATAAATAAATCATATATATATATATTGCTTATAATTATTATCACGATTCTTGTCATGTGAGTACGAGATTATCCCCCGTTTATATCCCCACCCCGCTTATATCCCCACTTTTGGGCTGAACGAAAGGGGGGATATAAACGGGGTATGAGTGTATTAGTCGATCTGATTAAAGAAAATGTTGATAAATCAGAAAATAAAAAATATAGTTTTTGATGACTTTAGTTCAGAACGTATTGAAATTTCAGGTTTTGTATTTACATGTTAAAGCTAAAAGAGTTTTTATAAAGAGATTTAAACCATATTAATAAATTTGTATATTATCGACCTTACGAATGTTTTCGTTTCTTTAATTACAATCATCTATTTGAATTGAATAATTAAAAGTTAATTGGAAGCCCACTTGATTACAACTACTGTACATATTTTTTTTACGATTATGAAACTTAAAAAAAGAAACACTTTTTATTTATAAATGATTATATATAAAAACATTGAAGATGTCACCGGTTTTCTTCGCGAGGCGGCTGCGTCCCCTCACCGTGACAATAGGGCTCTGTAGTGTCGATGCTTAGTGA